CCCAAGCTCAAGGCCCGCGATAGAAGCTATGCAATAGCTTAAAAATTAATAAAATAAAAATTAAAGTATTTTTAATTAAACTTTTTATCCGAATGCGGATTCTTTATACTATTAAATTTAACAATAAAGCTTTTCGTACATCTCAGTCGAGGCCCAAATATTTTTAATTCTCCAATTTATAAGGGTCACATACCACCCTTATAAATTTGAGATTTTTTAATTAAATTTACTAATAATAAGTTTTTAAATAAAAAATATATTATTTGAAAACACAAAATTAGAAAGAAACTCAAGTAGGTAGATGAAATTAAAATACTGGCCGGCGGGCAGCCCTGTCGCGGGGGTACGTGCCGCTCGGCTGTAGGTAATTATTTAAAGGACAGGCCCGAGTTGGGATACTGTATGCATTACATTTATGCATTACATTACCGTGCCGAAACCGCGTTAAAAAGGCCGTCGTGTGCATAGGCCCTTACGTATAGATAGAATGCCACAGGTATTTGTTTTCTTTTGTAAGATTATTTAGTTTTAGATGGCGGAGAAAACTTAAATGGATAGCATCGACAGATATTTTTTCTTAATTTTTAATTGACAAAGAGTTTATATGAACCTAGTTTTTCGGATTTTTCAGTTTAATTTTGCTATACATTGATTTAAATGCAAAATTTTTATATAAAACAAAAATTCAAGACAATCGCAAGCAATGTAAAACTTAAATAAATCTTAAATTTCTTACTTGGGCCCGAAGACATCTTGGCATTGCTGTATGAAGAAATCGAGTGTGAAGTGGTCACCGAAGACTTCTACTGCAGCAGACGAAGTTTGGTAAAAACCAAACTCTGTACAAGTCTGATACATCCATTGGCGAGCTGAAAGAGCGATCAATACATCTTAATACCAATTACCATATTTGTCAAAACAGCTCGATAATCTAATTTAAATTTATCTAAAGTATTTTTCTATAAGTCACATAAAGATGATTTGACATATTTCAGCGTTATCATATCCTATATCTTTAAACGAGCAATTCTTGTATATATATATATACCAACGATTTTACTACTAACGAAATAATTAAGTATGACGAAACGCTGTTTATTTACAAGTGCGTGGTTGAGAGATTTATTAGTTTTATTAAGTTTTACTTAACTTTAGCCGGTTTTAGATATTTTATGCTGTTTGTTTATTGTGTGCTGTGCGTGTTTCACATATTTTTTAATCGCGGTGAGTTTTATTAACGAATATGTTATATGGCATTAATTCACATTGAGTGTTGCTTGACTAACTACTTACTCGCTACTTTGTTTTCTAAACTTAATTTTGAAAATAAAAAACACGTCATCCAGTTAGGGCGTGCTTTACTAGACATTTTAATAAATAAGATAAGAAATAAGAGATTTCTCTTTATGATAAATATACGTGGATGACTGGCAGTTGTAAAATTAATAAAATGTTTTGTTTTCCATGTAATGATAATGAAAAGTAGGTAACTCAAATTTTTACAATAATATTTTAGCGCACTTTGTTTTCAAAGCCGCTTTTATCATGCGTAAAAGACACTGTATTCAAATTATCGTGATCTAATGTATAATGAAAGTGTGACCTTATAGATATTTATGAAAGAAGACATTCCTAGGTTTGGAACTTACAGCACAGTACAAGGCGAGCGTTTTTTTTTGGACCGGCTTACCTTCGCAAAAATTTCACCATTCGCCACTGGAGTACATAGACTTAAAATCACTCAAAAATAGACTTGCAATGAACATTTGGCTATTATTCGGTATTCGGCTTATTCTGCTACTTTTTTTCTATTCGGCCGAATACCGAATATCTAGATACTACTCAGCCGAATACCGAATACTTAAGTAATATATTTTGTTGTAATCAGATAATTGGTAAAATAAAAATATTTATTTATTTTATAATAATATATTTTTCTTGTAATCAGTGTATTACTCATAGGCACCCAGCTTTAAAAAAAGACTAAATAAATACTACTTCCTGACGCCAAACAAGAAACAAATACGTCGATACAAGTTTTCCCGCCACAAGTTTTGCGCTGACCGAATACTTTTGCCTAATAATCGGCTATTCGGCCAGAAAGCCCACATTCGGCGTATGGCCGAATGTTACTATTCAGTAAAAAAATCGATTCACAGTTGGCAAAGATATCGAGTAACATACCTACAAAAGATCTAAATAATTTAAACTTAAAAATTACTTTGAAGTTATTCTGAAGTCACTTATAATAATAAATTATTATTTTCCTGTTTACTCACACAACACGAGCTAAAAAATATCGATTTTAATAGCTAATAGATTTTTGTGTTATTATTGGATTAACGATTAAATCGAGGATGTTCATATGTTATAAACAAAACAAAAAAAACGGACAAGTGCGAGTCTGAATCGCATACCGAGGGTTCGTAGCATGAAATAAAACATTTACGCATATACGATTTTTTTATTAATTTAATTAATAAGTTTATATTTCATAGTATTACTATGAGGTACACGTTTCCTGCCGACCGTGTGATACAGAAAGTTTCATATACCTACATCTCAAAAAGTAGCCAAAGTATCATACTTAAAATTATTTTCGTTCATAGTTTTTTGGAAGCTCTATTATGTCAATTTTTTCTACAACTTTGTAAAATTAAAAAATGAAGCGTAACTATTGTTTTGTATTGACTTGAGCAAAAATGCCCCTTAAAAAAATCGGGATTTTTAAACATTTTTGTTCGCCCCTCAGTTAAGGAGTGCCACTCCTATTTTTTTAATTTTTAGACTTAACTACAGAATTGGGTAGCAGTTTACATGAGACACCTTCCTATTAAATTTCGGCAATATAGCTACATAATCTCTAAGTAGAATGACATGCTTACGGACGCACATGGTGACATTATAAGGGTTCCGTTTTAGTTTTATTTTTATCTCTTTTTCATTAATAATCCATGAGTGGTTAATTCGTTCATGGTGAAAACATATAAAAATGCAAAACTACTCTTCTTCTGTCTGACATTTATTAATCCCGCCTATAATTGCCAGGGTCTGATCGAAACTACTAATTTTAAAATGTTGACTAAAAGTTTATTTTATTTCAATTAACTATTTCTCGACAAAAATCAACATCTTAAAATAATAATTAATTTAATATGAATATTTCTTGGAGGATTTTTAGAGTTTCAACAATATTCTATAATATAAAATATTTAATACTAGCGACTCATGTGAAAAACAAAAAAAATTATCCCATTTTTCCGAATTAAAAAGTAACCTTTGTGCTATTCCAGACTATAATCTATGTCTGTGGCAAATTTCATCCAGATCTGTTCAGCCATTCCGGCATGATTGAGTAACAAACATCCATCCTTCCAAACTTTCGCATTTATAATATTAACTAGCATTGCCCGCGGCTCCGCCCGCGTTCAGATGACCAAAAACTAAATTCTTAGGTGTTACATATTAGTATACTCTTACATTGCAGTTTTTGTATTTTTCCTCAGAAATAAGATATTTTCCCGCGGTAAAAAGTATCCTAGGATCGCGCGCTACATCGCCCGGTTTATATAGCTTGAGCAGGCGGTCGAGCGATGCGGGGCAGAGGGGATGGACTCGCCGTAGGCATCTCAATGCTCGCCAAGCATTAAAAATGTTTCGCTACTAATTACTTCTAACAACGATATCTCAAAAACTATTCATCTGATTGATTTAGTGTAAAGAGCAATTTTAATCTGCATTAAATGACTAAGCTAACTAAAATATTCATTTGGATAAGGATTAATACCGAACTAAAGAAAATAACTTTGAAAATAACGTAATGTTTTTAATTAAAAATGTTAACATAAAAGTGGTTATTGTAAGTCAACCGTAAGAGATAGAGATATGCTATCGCGGACTTTTTTGTAGCATTTTTATAGATTTTGAATTCTCTAGTACATTACTTAACTGTATCTTTGCTAGTTTACGCGGCGTTCGCGTGGAAAGTTCCCATTTGGCGAGATTTTTTGCGACCTCTTCAACATTTGTCGCCGTATTTCAGCTAATTTACATAAAAGCATAATAAATTATATACCTAAACCTTCCTCAAGAATTACTCTTTCTATTGTTGAAAACCGTATAAAAATCCGTTCAGTAGTTTTCGAGTTTATCGCGTACAGACAGACAGGAGGACAGACAGGAGGACAGAAAGACGCGGCCGGGGGACTTATTTTTATAATAAGTATAGATTAAGGACGCGACTATTCGCCCGATTCGATTTTAGTTGGTTCTATTACCGATTCAACCTGTTTTAAAAAAAATGCATTTATTTTAAATTTCTTCGATTTTTAAAATAAGTTCGATTAATGAATTAATGGGATTAGAAAGTAATAAATGATTTTATGTTCTTTTGGTAGTAACTTAACAGTAGTCACAATATAGTTATTACTTTATAGGTAAAATCCATAAGCAATCCAGTGCATAGTATATCGCTAGGACGCCAAGCATCTACGCGCTTATTGGATGCAGCTGCACATGCGAAGTATGACTATTAATGTGCGTATTGATTTTGCTTCAATCTGCTCCGTTCCATAATGGACTAAAATATTCTATAATAGCTAACCTAATTGTGAATACCAATCGCACATGCCCTTTGTACCTGCCCTTACAAAGAAACAAGATATAATTAAGATATATACATAATATATAAAACACGCTTTACATTTAAAAATATTTCAAAATCTCAAATCTTTCAGGTTTTAAAATTAAATAATAACCACTATATAATATAGTGTACATATTATTAGAATAATTAATGATATTTAATATAACAATAATTGAGAAAATGCTTTCATCGAGACGAAATATTAAATCAAATAATATTGAAGATAAAAAAATTATCTTGATTGTTTAATGATTGTAAACATATTGTTTACGGTCCAAAACGAATAAACCTGTTTTTTTATATATTGGAGCAAGAAAAAGCGGGGAAAGGGAGATGGCGGGGAAATGAGCGGGGAATGGGAGTGGCCGGTAACGCACGGCAATTGCGATTCGTAAAATATCGAGAGTGCTCGCGTTTGGGGTCGCTTTTACAGCCTTCTATGTCTCAGTCGAAAGAAAATAATTTAAATATGCCCAAAACTCACAATAAGACCAAGAAACGCAAGAGCAAGAATGCGAGAAAGAGAACTGCTTTGAATAATCATGGACTCAAGATTATAACAAAACGCTGCGGTTGTACACTGATTGAAGTATGTTGGTCGATTACAATATATTTTCATTCTTTTATATATATTTTTTTTGTAGTGAAAACTTCTTTAACCGCGTTGAGCGATTTTTATTAACCGCCTATTTTATTTGTTTCCGTTTGGTGTATATTCAGTTAATGCATGACAATATCTAATAGTAACTATACAATTTACTGCTAACTATATTATACGTGTATTGACTTTAAAAAAAAAATGTGATAAAAATTAATTACGACGTCGTTTGCAGAGCGACTGTGACGGCGAGCTCAAAGATTACTTAGCCTCCATGTTAGGAGATCTAAGGAGGAAACTGAAAAGGGCCGTTTACCTTTACGAAATTGTAAGCGAGGCAAAAATGCCACATGGGTCTGCTATTCCGAAACGACCAGAAGAGGAAATTGTGACGCAATTGTTTGCAGCGTGGAAGAACCAACATGGAACTTGGACAAAATGTGGGAGATGTGACATATGTCTTGCATCTAACTCCATCCAATAAAATATATAAAAAAAATTACGAAAAAATCATTCATCTTTATTCACTCAAGTAACTGTCTACGATATACTAATGAATGTGTACAATAATTTTAAGCTCAGGGTATTGGTTGTCATGTTTTTGTCTTAACAACTTAATTAATGTAACACTTACGACTTATTACTGTAATTTTGACTAATTATTGTATTATTTTGATAAAATCAAATTGTACGTCTAAATAAGCTCTTGAATACTATATTTTTTACGTATAATTAATTCTTTAAAAAAAATATGCTCTATACATATATTCATACGTTATTGTAAAAGCCCTTATAGTGTAAATCTTATGATTTACTAACACTAGTTGGTAAATGTACGGATTTTATAAAAAGTAGACGACGTTTTTGGCTCTTACCAGTTTGGTACATGTTAGGTATTACTAATGATGTTTGGTAAAGTACTTATGATATCGAGGGTTCTGGGTTTGAAATAGAAAAAAGACCTAAAGAGAAGACTTAATCACAATCCCCCATAACATAAGTGCTACAACCAACATTTACCAATCTTAAGATTTACCACTATAAGGACTTTACAGTAACATATACATCATGGCTACTGTAAGCCTTCATTAAAATTTTTGACTTCTCATAAAATAAAGATAATATTGTTGTTTTATTTAACTTCTTCCCTGTTTATTTGTTTGGCCAATATAAATATTCACATTATGTATACGCAAGCGAAATTTCTATAAAGAACAATTAGCGAATTTATACTTATAATTTTTTTCAATCTATTCCATCTTATTAACAGCACAGCTTTATATTTTATTAGCATTTTACGTGTGTCGCTTATATAAGATAGCGAATAAAATGAAAGTAAATAATTTTTATTGCAAGGCATAAAATATTAATATATAAAAAGTGTTAAATGGGCTTGGCAAATTTAAAATTGCGAATCTATGAAGATGTTATGTCAGGAGCTAGTTAAACAAATCTATTTTATTTTATGTTTCGTTTTTGTTGTCCTTTCTTTCTATCCTGTAATTAGTTAAATTTTTGCTAAAAAATTTTTGCCTAAATTTTGACACGGCCTGCTTGCCACATTATTAAAATATGATGATGGAGGTTTTTCTTAGTACGTATTAAATGGTGATTTTTTTTTAATTAAAGAATAATTAATGAATCAGTGTGTTTATACGCTTCACGATGCTACACATCGCGATGTAAGCAATAACATAAAAAAGAAAATATACCCCTTCGCATCGTAAACAAAACAGGCAGATCAATAAGAAATAAAAAAATATTAAGTCACGTTAATATATTCTATATCCTATATTACAAATGTGAAAATTTGTGAGGATGGATAGATGGATGTTTGTTACTCTTTCACGCCAGAACGGCTAAACAGATCTGGACAAAATTTGCCACGGAGATAAATTATAGTCTGGAATAGCAGATAAATTACTTTTATACCGGAAAAATATCGTCTGGGATAGATTTGTTTTTGTCTAGGGACGAACCATTACCAAAAAATTACATGCCAATTTTGTAGGCAAGCAAATTGCAAAAATATTAAATATCATTCAAACATACATAATAACATACTGAAAAGTTAAATGTTGTGCTATCTATTTGCTTGTTAGCCGTCCAAGTGAAATACTAGCTGGCATGAGCTAAAGCTAAGGAGACCTTGTACAAACGAGTATGTGTGTACCCATCCTAATATAGTGATATTTTATTTTTTTGCATAATCTATACTAATATTATAAAGAGGTAAAGTTTGTGAATTTGTGACGCTGTAGGGGGTAATCTCTGGATCTACTGAACCGATTTAGATGAAACTTGGTAAGAAGATAGTTTGAGGCTCTTATAAAGGACATAGGATACTTTTTGTCCTGGAAATCGTTCCTTAAGGGGGTGAAAATGGGGATGAAATTTTGTATAGGGAATCAACCTAGGGAAGAACCTAAGCGAAGCGAGAGTGAGTCGCCAGTATGCAAATATGTTTCTGCATCAGCTTTTTAAAGTAACTTCACAACAATATAAAGCAACTTCGGTAACGAAAAATAAAAGATTTTATTAATGAATAACGGAAGAAAAATAAAAATTAATTGAAGAAATATATTTAAACGTAGAAATTAACTAGCCAAGATGTTTTCAAAATCCAATACGTATTGACGGAGAGTTATACTTGAACTCATAGTAACTTAATACGTAATATGACTACATATGTATAATTTTAATAGAACTATATAGCCATTTACATCTTAGTATGTTGTTTCATAAACTACTTTCGTAGTATACACAGATAAGAAGGAAATTAATCATTGCCAATATTATATTGGTCTCTCTAGTCTCTATAGTATATATTATGTTGTTGGAACATTAACACATAGCACCATCTACTTCCATGTAAGTTATGAGGCTTGTGTTATAGTTACCAAATAGTTGGTACACAACACGTATTAACTTTAAACACATACATATTATAAATAAAAATAATCATGACTGGAGTACAAACATTCGTGCTCATTACACAAATGAATGCCATGCAATGCCTCCCAGCGGGACTCAAACCCGCGACAGCTGGCACACGAAGTAGGGTTACTACAAACTTAGAGAAACGTGTCATCCATAATATTTTGTTATTACAAAGAACATAATAATTTTGTTGTTAGAAGGAAATGATAGAAAGTAATGCAAATTACTAGAATAAAGTATACTCTCATACGTTTTTATATACGTACCTCCCTCTGATCCCCATGTGATGTTTCTCAATTCTTCAATCATACTATTATAGCTGTAATCCAGACAGGTTTGATTTGACTTTTCCAACACTATAGAATTGAATGCCGCCAATTTTTTATAAGCTGGAGTGTTGGATTCTGTTATCATTTTGCATACCTAATATTATAAAGGTACTAATATTTTAGAATTGTAAGTAAAAAAATGGGTACGTGTAACGCGGTTGAAGTAAAACTTCTTTAGCAAATATCGCAATTAAATTAAAAGAAATCAATAATTAAATAAGGCATATTAGGAATATTACAATCGTATATTTATAGAATATCACATACGGAAAGAATATAATATTATGTATTTGTAAGACTTACAATGTTTACTAATTACCAAGGCAACACGGCAATGTATTTTATCTCATCCCCTCGCTGGCTTTTAGTGTCGCATTTTCGTTTCATCGAGTTTCAAATTACAACGATTCTAAAGAAGTTTCACTTCAAAAATAATATTAACTTATCAAACTATTACGTAATAATGGGCAATTTTAACTTTTTTACTTAACGCCTGTTCTTACTAAATAATTATAAATAAATATGTAGTATATTACAATAGACTTTGAGTTAGGCCACTTTTACGTTCCCCCCCAACGTGCGTTCACCTTGTCGTGGTGGGGGGGCTCAGTAGTGCCCGGCAATCCAACCGGGCGCGAAGCTAAGAAACGCACTGGGAGGTTGCCCACTTCGGTGGGCGGTGGGAGGTGGCCCTCTTCGGCGGGTGATGTACCTTGCGGGTTGCTCCTGGTACTTCTCTGATAGCAGAGTGGACCTTGGAGCAACCCCATGGTTGTGGTGGTCTGCTTTGGCAGACCTGCCGTTGGGGCGTCGTACTTGAATGCGTAAGCGATCCTGCGACGCCCCATTAAGACGGGGGAAGGTTGTGTTTGAGTTTTAGTGGGTAGTACTGGCTGTATTACGCCGGTGAGTCCCACACGTCGTGCGTAAATGCATTTCCCAACGTTAAAAAAAAAAGGCCACTTTTACGTTGACCTCATTTATAATGTTAATAAGATGCGGTATACATTTAAAATTATAGGGACCAAAACCAATCAAAGCTATTATTTTGAAGTCAACTTCAAATTACAAGTGACATTATCTAGATTTGTTGCAGTTTTAAGAAAACTCGGTATATTTTTAATTAGGTCACTATAATTCCAAACGTGTTATTAATTTTATTTTTTAATAATAACACAAAATCTGTTATAACTTTGAAGCTTTATAAATAGTAACGATATTTCTTTACTAGTCTGCTTTTTTCTTTATAATGTTTATGATTATACTACATATGTCCCTACTTAACAGTTCGATTAATTTTATTAAAGTAACAAAAATACATTTTGTTATTAAATAATAAATTCTTACAATATTATTTCAATATATTTCAATGAACTTCCCTTCGTACTTTTCAGGCTTAGGACTGTCTGAATATGGTTAAGTATGGATAGTGGCTATAAAAGATTATTTTCAAAGCATCTTTATAAAAAAACTCGATGAAATAGCATAGAGTTCAATATTCGATAGATACAATATTATGATATGTTACATTGCAGCTTTTAGTATTTTTTATCTATACATATAATGAAATTATAACTGAGCCGAATCTGTACATTAAATGTTTTTGGAAAGTCTTATTGAAATAGTCATTATTATCGATACAGAGGCCGAATCTATAGTTTTTATGATTTTCGTCTGTCTGTCTGCGACCGCATCACGGAAAAACTACTGGAGGGATTTTGATGAAATTTGGTATGATGACCGTTGGTTGTCCGGGTTAATATATAGGATACTTTCTACTGCGGGAAAATATCTCATCTCTGAGAAATCTATACTAAGTAGGGACGAACCCGAACGGAGCGAGGGTGAGTCGCAACTCGCTAGTGCAGTATATACCAATAAGTAATTTGTGTGTAAGGATTATTTATATATAGCTTCTTTTTAGCTGTCCTTATCAATATTATTATTCTAAAATTAAGATTAACTTAACATAGTTATTTTGTTTTGTTTAAAACTGGATTAATATTTTATAAAAATAGTTTATTTCATTTGCTTTAAACGACTTCATCTTAAGCGATCTTGAAAACAGAAATCTTTTATACTTAATATTAGACTATCTGTCCAATATAATATACCCTTATACTCATATGTTATTTAAACACATATTCAGGCGTACTTACAAGTTCATTGATTTTCTATACAAATTGTAGGTCTATTATATTATCCAATTGCATTTGAACAAATTTCGTCTGTTTGTTACTGTTTTACAATGCAACACTTGCATTGCTGAAACTCTATTACAAGTCCTCTATTTTTTAAAAGGGGAAAAGATCGTAATACGTGCAAAATTAAGCATTGCATGTTAAGCGAGCGTAAACAGAAACATTCACGAGCGTAAACAATAAAAATCACTCTACGTTATAATAATAAAAAAATAAAAGAAACTAATTCGCAAAATAAAACCTTCATCTCCAAAGTATGCCGACTAAATTAAATATTAAACAATAACAAATATCGTTGTACCCCCTAATCTCCAAAGCGGCAGAAACGATTTAAAAAAAATAATTGTAACTAAACCGACTTAATGAAACTCTAAACTTTAGAATATTCGAGTGAGAGTGAGCGATAAATTATAATAAAAGAAAAATTAACAGCCATCAAAAGCTATTTCTAATAAGAATTGCAAATATTCAGTAAAATATTTAAAAAAGCAAATAATATACAGTGAATGCTATTTAAATAATCATAAACATTTACACTCTTACGATAAGCGATACAAGGAAAGAAGCAGACGAGTAAACAATAACATGAAATACCACAACAAAGATAAATAAGACACAAAAGCGATTAACATATTGAACAAATGGCCAATTTTATATATAAACATAATATTGTATAGAAAAGCCGATAGTTAAATTAAAACTTTGCCTTTACCCTTAACCTTACAGGATATTCAAATTAATTTCAGTTTGAAGATTAACAGTCAAAATCGGTAAAGTTATTCGGTAAAATTGCAATGACACAAATAGATGAAAAAAAAAACAATTATTCATTGAGTAAATACTTGTAGTTACTCAGCTGTTAAAATATTCAAAAATTTTATTCCAATTTCAGCTGTGAGTATATTAATATTTCATCATTTCATATTTCTGTCTCTTTTGTTGAAGTTTTTATTTGTAATAAAGTTATTATCTTTTTTTTTTAGCACAATATGCTCTTTAAAGAAAGAATAATACATAATTACCGTATTTATTGTAATATTTTTGTATTTAAGGTCAGCACTCATTCTATTATCTTCGTTGTATTGAACGAGATCAGCAAAGTCATCAGCAATTGAATTGTAGAAGTTTTTAATGTCATTCTCTGTTGCTTTGTGAAATGGTTTGCATACCCTGGAAAGATAATAACAATTAATATAATATATTTATTACCTTTAAAACCAGTAGTAGCCCACTGGTAATGAGCTCGTATTTTGCCAATATAGAGGATTATGTACTGATTCCCCACACAACGAGAGAAGATCTATTGGCAGCGGTGAGATGGTGAAAGGGCTGTGAGTGCATGCCAAATTGATATTTATTCCTCTAAGAACTAACATGAATATATTGATGCATTTCTTTATTCTTTTATTTAATACATACTTAAATTCTTTTTCAATAGTAACTGGATCGGTTTTCATTTTTTCTTCAATCTGTTGATGTGCTCTTTTCAATTCAGAGACACAATTGGAATCCCCTGTTTTTTCTTCTAATGCATTTATAACAACTTGAAAATATTCTGTAACATAAGGCAATGTATTAGCAAATTGTTAGAATAGGTATAATATGTAATGTATGTACAGACAAATAAATATAAGCAGCATGTCATGGCCTTGCTTAGTATACGAGGGATCACAGGATGAATCCATATAATATTATAAAAGTGACGGATAAGCATGATTTTTATTGTGGAAATAGTTACAGGGCTGGAGAGTTACATAGGCTACTTTTTACCACAGGAGTATATCTAATTCCCACGGGAAAAAATGTTATAATACAACCTACTCATCATGTCATACCTATGTATATCCATACTAATATAAATGTGAAAGTGTGTTTGTTTGTTTGTCCTTCTTTCACGTCGAAACCGAGTGACGGATTGTCGTGATTTTTTGTGTGGAGATAGTCTGAGGGCTGGAGAGTGAAGTAGGCTAATTTTTACCGCGGGAGTTAACCTGTTTCCCACGGGAAAACACATTTTAATACAATCCAAAAAAAAATATGATCAGAATAACTTGAAACTTGGTATTAATGCTCTTTAATAAAATTAAATAAATCTGTTTTATCATTTTTCGAAATTCATCCTATAAGGGAGTAAAATAGGGGATGAAAATTTGTATGAAATTACCTTTTTACAGATTTTTTTTGTAGTTTTAGCACTAGCGGAGCCGCGGGTTCTGCTAGTATATAATATATTGTCTATCTATTTTATACTAATTACTAAAACATTCCTAGGGACGAACCCAAGCGAAGCAAGGGTGGGTTGCTTGTTTACAACTATTTCAAATTCAGTTCATTTTCAGTCAGCTTTATCAATGGTATAGAATCTACCACCAACCAACTAATGTCTGAATATATATAATAGTAAACATTTTGGTAGTCATAATAGATGTTAATGTGTCTTCCACAGCAATAAAACATTAAATGAACTAGTATTGAGTTTTATATAGACATTGAAATGTTTATGCTGCCTTAGAAGACAACATTGCAACACTGCTGAGTTTTAAGTATTGTTTTTTCAGTTTAATTTTGAATATAAATTTTAACAAAACCACAAGTCTCAGCAAAATGTAAAAGTACAGCTTTAAGAACAACTTCTATACTTTTGTGGAAATCACTTTCATCTTATATGCCAAGGTGGCTTTTAAGAATAAAAAGCATGATACACATACATACCCATAAAATTAACCTTGGCAAGGAGAGGACCACTTGAAGAAACTGCTGCATGAACCAAATGAGGATATTTAAGTCTGAGCCAAGCAGCTAAAGATCCAGGGTATGACCCACCAAATGCCACCCATTTTACTTCCTTATTAAACTTGTATTTGTCATTCATAGAACTTATAAAGTATGCTAAATCAGCAAGTGCCTGATTTGATGATAAATATTGCAAATTTTTTGTACTGAGATCCCTGAAATCAAATTTACACCTCAATTTTTATCTCTTATAAACAAATAAAATGTTGTAATATATTTTTACATAAAATCAATATTTTTAATGAATAAGTTTACATAAGTTATCAGTTTATCGGTAAGTAATAAGTTTTCATTTAGTAAGTTAAAAAAGTACATTTTCTAAGAATATTTAATTAATGTAAAAGTTGTAAATTTAGTTCTTCTTAAAATACATGTAGTATCTATAATCAGTAATTGACCTGTACAATCGAGGTTACATATTATGATAAATAATAAACACCATTATATCAAAGTTATAATAAAGACAGTTCAAACTCTTGTCTTCACGCTGATTATAAAATGTGTTTATATATTATATAGTTATAGACTACAAGAAGTTACTTACTCTAAAGGATGACTTTCTCCATAGTAACGATGTTCTAATTGAATACACAGGGCTTTGAATCTTTTTGCGTAATCGATCCAAGTACCTTTCACCATCCATTTTGGACTTGCAGTGCCTTCTCCACCAATCATCAAAAATACAGGTCCAGGATTATTAAAATCATAAAAACTTTCGTTAACAAAATAGCGCTGAAATATATTATAATTTGTACCCAACCTTAATAATCAAAAAGAGAGCAATTTAAAAACAAAAACTCTGTACTTATTATAATTTTGATAATGCAAAAAATAAGTACTCCATAATTGACATTATATTTAATAATATATTCTTACTTGTTTCCAAGTTCTCTTATCCGTAGGTCTAAAATGGTCTAATTTTTGCGTAAACCACTGTGCAGGGGGCAAATTTTGATGTTCGACGCCGGCCGGTTCTCCTAAATTCCCACCTTTGCTTCGTCCTAATCGAAATTGTCTACCGCATTCTACTAAGAATATTAATTGTAACGAAAATAATAAAACATAAAAACGAAACATATTGATGTTTGCACGTATCTAACGTCTTCTCGCGAAACAATACGTAATTTATATGAGGATTGCCGATTGAGGAATGAGAATGACGGGAGGAAAAGAAATAGTGCACATTTTAAATTTTTCGATTTTAGTAAATATTAGCATTTGACATAACAGATTGTTATATTTCGGAGGCAGCAACGATATGTCAATGTCAACACTCAAAATGATAGGTACCTTTTAGATATAGTGATGAACGATTACGATTAATCGTAATTAACGATTATCGACATTTCACGATTACTCGTAATCGTCAACTACTATTGCGATTATCTAGCAATTATTTATGACTTATATTTTCATAAAGATTTATTCCTATGGTTAATGTAACAAAGTTTTTACATGTGTATAATGTTCATTTTTTGTTTTTGCGTGTGTGTTCAGTATGGAAAGAGACATCACAATAATATGCTCTTCTAAAACAAATAGCGAAAAAAATCTTTCACATTGGGGAGGATATTTTCCACTGCAGTATTGATTCAAACTGAAAAATGATATTTTACCCACTTAAGGGAAGAATTTCGAAAAATTCATTCTAATCGGATTATATTTCTTCTAATTTACCTGACACATAGATGGGCAGAAGCAGTTGAGACCAAGGGGGAGGCGCTTGCAGCCAGTCTGGACATAGCGAAGGCCTTTGATCGGGTATGGCACAAAGCGCTTCTTTCGAAGCTACCTTCCTATGGGCTCCCCGAGAAATTTTGCAACTGGATCAGCAGCTTTTTGGCAGATCGGAGCATTAAGTTCGTGGTCGACGGTGCTTGCTCTGATCCTAAATATGTCAATGCTGGTGTTCCACAAGGCTGTGTACTGTCTCCTACTCTGTTCCTTCTGCATATCAATGACATGTTGCAAATTAGCAACATTCATTGCTATGCAGACGATAGCACTGTGGATGCGCTGTACACTGGCCGTGCTAATATTTCTCGGGAATACGTCGACGAGAGCCGGAACAAACTTGTGTCTGAAGTCGAATCTCTGTTAACTAAAGTCTCGGATTGGGTCGGCTTTAGTCCAATCCAACCCAAAAAAGACACAAGTTTGCGCGTTAACCGCTAAAAAGTCGCCATTTATCGTAGCTCCTCAATTTGAGGACACTCCTCTGTCTCCCACAGCCAGTATCGGAATATTTGGCGTCGACATCTCGAGCAACGTCCAGTTCCGTGGTCAATTGGAAGGTAAGGCCAAACTGGCCTCAAAGAAGCTTGGTGTGCTCAGCAAGGCGAGACAGTACTTCACGTCGCGTCAGCGTCTTATTCTTTATAAATCGCAAATTCGGCCCCACATGGAGTACTGTTCTCATCTTAGGGCGGGAGCTCCCCAGTACCAGCTACTTCCATTTGACCGCATTCAACGTAGGGTGATTCGAGTTATCGACGATCAAGCTCTCTCCGATCGGCTTGATCCTTTAGCTCTGCGTAGAGATGTTGGATCACTCTGCATCTTCTACCGCATCTATCACGGGGAGTGTTCCGAGGAATTGTTCGGACTGATCTCGGCTGCTGAATTTCACCATCGGACATCGCGCCAAAATATCAAATTCCATCCACACCACCTCGATGTCCAGCGTTCCAGAACAGTGCGATTTTGAAGGCATTTTCTGCCCCGCACAACCACTTTGTGGAACCAGCTATCACCGGCGGTCTTTCCAAGCCGCTACGACCTGGCTACCTTCAAGAAGAGAGCGTATTCATTCCTTAAAGGCCGGCAACGCATCTGCAAGCCCTGCGGTGTTGCAGATGTCCATGGGCGGCGGTGATCACTTCTTCAGGTGAGCCTCCTGCCCGTTTGCCCCCTTAGTGCCATAAAAATAAAAAATAAAAAAATAATGCTTACATCATATAAGGAATACGTCCTCTATATTTTACTTTCCTATGACCAGCGCTTTAGGCTGTGTGTACAGGTATACTGTACTGTGTTGATCCATCAATCAGTCCTGACCATCACAGGATGCACCTCTTTTTTTTAATTATTCTTTAACCGATTACATTCTTCCAGATTACATTCCAGATACATTTATTTATTCATTTATTTGGACAGGTAAGACATTATTGCACAGGTAAGATGCGAACACAATAGAAGCAAAAAAAAACAGGTATAAAAGAAATATCACAGTAAATTGCTACCTCAGACTGAACGTAAATAGGCAATACATGTGGTGCCCTCGGCCCTCGGCCTCCTTTCGAGAAATCTCCCCATTCCCGCCAAAACAGCGATTCGATTACTTACATTATCCACAAACCATGTAGCAATACTACGCATTATCTAATGTTTTTTCCGATAATTTGGATAATCGTAAAACTGAAATTGTCGCAACACTACGGTAAATAAGTTATTGACATAACATTGTACTAGCGATAACTAATTTACAATTTGAGATATTAATTTTGCTTTTAATTAGTTTTACGTTTTTGTTTTAATAATTATGGTACAGGAATATTACACGTAATGGTATTTATATAATTAACTTATTTTTTTTTTAAATTTGAAAATTGATTTCAAAATAATGTGTAGACGTTTGAACAAGTTTATCGCAGCGTAGTGAAGCATGCGAAACGTCAAAAATCAAAATGGAATTCTTAAATTTATTAAATTTACAATATAGTGCATCATTTTAAATAAAACTATCTTTTCGGATTTTGTCGCGGATTTATTTGTATTTTTGTTTCCCGACGTTTCGAATGCTTTACAGCATCCATGGTCACGGGAGAAACGTCGGGAAACAAAAATACAAATAAATCCGCGACAAAATCCGAAAAGATAGTTTTATTTAAAATGTCAAATATTCGCGTAAATCTAAGAAAGTATTATAGTACATCATGTTAAAAAATAACAATGCGATTCTTAGAATGATTTCAAAAGTCTATTGATTAGTTTTTCTATAAATAAACGTTTTTATATAAAATACAGTTTATTTTGGAGATATAACAAGTAACAACGCTAGACACATTTTCGTTGTAAAATTTACAACAGCGCCATCTCTTGTGAATACTGTGACGATTTTATTAGCGCCATTTGTAAAACAAAACGTTTCATTTTGCCACAGTCCAAGTTAGCCAACATTTCAAGTTTCCACTCGCGAATACGATCAATAGCGGGGTGTACCTTACTTGTGTGTTGGTTAGCGCTCGGTGGGTTCAAAAATGGCTCTATTCAGGATCACCTCTACAAAATTAATTGAAATACAGGTATTTTTATCACTAATTAAAAATGTAATAATGTTTAAAGAGGACTAGTCATGTAACAATTTATATACATTTTCTACATAACCTTCTAACCACATTTTTGAGTTCGAAGTTATGTAATGTGAATGACACTATTTTGGGATTAAAATGTATAATTATTTAACTGTTCTGGACCTCATTATGGTTTAAATAATATTTTCAAGCAAATGTTTTAAATGTGTAGTGTTACATAAAGCTTGACTGAACATATAAAACCCCGCGCACTACTTCAACATTCCTAAGATATTTTATTTGCACATTAAATTATATATATTCTTAAATAAATTCGCCAAAATGTATTAATCTGAACTTAGTAAATAATGTTCTGAAGGGATTGTAAATTACAGTGTTTTTGAGCTAAAATTTCACTCACACCTTGGAGTTAAAACTCAAGCAGTGAAGTATCTAAGAAAACTCAATTCTTGTTATATAAATATTATATAAACATTTTTTCTTTTGAATAATTATAATATTTCATTAAAGAATTTAAAGAGAAATCAAATTAACATCTTTTTTGAGCATATAAAGCGATGTGTTAGTAAGAATTTTGATTGGTTTTCCTTCAAGATTAATAATTAAAGTTTACGTAGTAATTAAACATTATCATATTTGGAAACGTATAATATTGTAATCATATTGCTTTAAACATTTTCTAGGCTGTAGTTAGTCCTATGTCGTCACGACTTTACTTATCATTACCATTTACAGAAACGAAAACTAGAATAACGAAATGTATGAATAGATAACTTCTAAGCATCTACATTTTTAAACTTTGCTGCAAGAGAACTGTCTCTTGTTTTTACTTTCCTTGCAACTATTAATATCTATGTATAAATTAAAAGTAAATGAGTTTGGAAGTTAGTCCGTAAAGTCGGCCATAATTTGTAACGGTATTTTGTTCAATCGTCCTCAATGCGATTCATGAGAGTCAATTAAAGTTGTAAAATATTTTAACAATACCGCTTGTAAAAAATTGAATAAAAGATAGTTTTTGTAGTGACTTTGACCATGTCCGCAACCTCTTAGAAGATAAATCAGCGGATCGTAGATTATAAATACGCGCCCAAATGTTTTATATCAACTATTAATGCTTTAAGAATTATAAATAATATAATTATATAAGTAATCTATAGATAGGAATAGTAGGTAATTTAGATAAGAAGTTATAAAATATTTTACGCTAGACTTTATGAAGTGAAGGTTGAAAAAAATACCATGGAAAATTTCCATTTACATTAACATTGTTATTAGCTTGTTTTCTGTATAATTTTTCCCTTTTTGATAAATGGTAAAATAATTATTATACCTAATACCGTATTGCAGCAAAAAGAAAATACTGAGAAGAACATAAAGACGAACTCGTTTTGCTCATGGTCGTGTATGTTACGGCTTCCTTAGGTCGCGTCTAATACCTTCTAAACCTTTTAAGAATTATTTCAACGGTTTACGAAGGCTACGTAACCAAGGACCTTTATTCTTAGTTTTAACGAAAATAAAACTATAATAAAGATTTCGTTTACAGCATCTTCACCGAATTCTTCTTCGTGACGCGTTGACATTGAATTCACCTACCATTTTTTATCACCATCTATCTTATCAGCGGAAACATTCTAGCTTTTAACAACTTGCTTGCTATAAAATCAACTAAAAAATATTAAAAACTACTAAATACCTATATGAAATTGGTTAATTTAGCAAAACTTCAATTCAATTTTTCTTATTATTAATGGCTTCAAAGCGTGCCGGTTGAGCACAGATTACTTCGCCAATACCACGTAAAATGGGGAAGATTTACCAAACTTGTCATTAAAGATCTATTATTATAATATAAACTCCAAAATTAGCTTTTTCTACGATTTCCTTAATTTAATTAAAAACCATGTAGGTATGTATGGGATTTTTATAGCCTGTAACCATGGACGAATTGTGGTTAATTCGTTCATGCCTGTAACGATCAAACATCTTTTTTGTCTATTTATTTTATTTAAAACACTAGGATTAGTATAAAAAATTTGACAAGGTTTTAATTAGGGCATATGGTACAATTAGCACGCGCAAAGAACATCACCAGCATTTTTTAACTATTACTTATTAGCCGCGCTTCGTTACGCAATGCTAGTGAAGTATTATTATTCTCGTTTTCAATGTCGTTCGTAGTATTTTGGCGCCGAATTTTATACGTAATTCTATGACGTCAGTATATGCGTGTTTCAAATATTTAAGACAACAACACGTTTACATTGCGTTTAATTTTCCTTTAAATTATAAAAATACCTTTGTTCGTTATCATTTTATATTAGTGGTATACGAAAAGAAAATAAAAAAATATATACCATTAAGTACTTACTATATTAATCATATTACAAGACTTCCCCCATCAACAATAGCATTCCCAAGGAGGGTTGATGTCAGGCAGGCGGCCGGTCGTAAAACTTGCCAATTCCTATCAGCAGTACAGAAGATGCACTGCGCCGACCCCAAGTGATTGGGAAATGGGCAGGGAGATGATGTCTATATTAATCATATTAAGATATTAAAAATGTGTCCAAATTCTGATATAATTTGTAAAAGATTATTGTGTGTTTGAAGATATACATATATGTATTTACTATCAGTGACTCACCCTCGCTCCGCTCGGGTTTGTCCCTAATTATGTTTTAACGTTTAGCATAGATTTCTCAGAGATGAGATATTTTCCCGCTGTAAAAAATATCCTATACATGCATTCCTAGACAGACAGACAAAAATTCTATAAACTACTTATAGATTCGATAATAATGACTATTTCAATAAGATTTTCCAAAAAATATTTAATGTACAGATTCGACTCAGTTAGAATTTTATTATATGTATAGATTTTACGTAGGAATAATAAATTATAATAAATATATAGTAATAAAAAATACAAGTACAATCGTCAAGGTAGAAGTTAAGGTGAACAACGTTTGTGAGCCAAACAATTTTTGTAAGCTTCCGTGTCGTTAGCCTTCTAGAAGGGTTTTTCAACATAATTACCGTTTCCTCGAGGAAAACTCTTTGGGATTTTGCTTATGAGAAATAGATATTTTCCGTCTACAGTTACTGCTTTTACCTCTATGACCTCTAAAACAAACCATTGTTGTGAATGATTTCTATTGATTGACCCCAACCTTATTATATATCAAATTTTTTTGTATGTTTTATTGATGATATTTTTGAGTTTATAACAAAGAACTGTAGGATAATAAATATTTTAAAATTTTAAAAACAAAATAAGACAATCTAAGTTCCTAATAAATAAGTTATAATATGTAGTTGACGAAGACAGACGATATTGACTTGTAATTTAACTTTTTTTTTACGTAACTATTTGAATGTTAATTAATGTACCTATCAAAGGCGTAAAACTAAATATATATGTAAATATCTAGTAGTATATCACTTAAAATAAAATTGTAACTGTTCGCCGTCTGTAAGTACATGGAAGATATTTGAGAAAAACTATTATTAAGACGCCCTGTCTTTATTAACGCAATGGAACCCAAAACAATGGTTTTAGAATTTATGTGTTTGTCTGTGAGTTTGCGCGCGCTAATCTCAGAAACAGATTAACCGACTTGAGTGCGGTTTTCTCTAATGTATTGTGGTAAGCTTCATTTAATATTTAGTAGATATTTGTTTTATTTTAATCGGTTCGTAAACAAAAGTTGTAATGTTTATTTAAAGAACCATCTAGAGACGAAGTCGAGCGAAGTAAGAGTGAATTGCTAGTTCATTAAATAAATATATAAAGCGTGTTTCCCATTTGGTAAATTATCATACAAAACTATACTGGGCATCCGTAAACGTTTTTAATACTTAGAAATATATATATATATATATATATATATATATATATGTACATTATACATATAGCTTCGATTTGTACTTTGACGTGTTCATCGTGGATCAAATATGATTAATCAACTGGTTTTTATTGTAACAACGCACGTTTTTATTCCGGTTATCTTTAAGGAGTCCGGTTTTATCATTATTAAATTTAAAGTTACTTAATTGAAAGAAGATATAATTAAATTTAAAGTAAATATGAAATATACTACTTTATTAATTAAGAAATTTAGTGACATTTCTAAAGATAGTAATTAAAAGTAGAAGTAATCAAATTAAAACAAAAATCAACTATGAAATAAACAGTTTTAATAAGTGACTTATTTCATCAATAGAGCACACTCAAAGCGGCGATGTAGTAACTAGCGATGTCAATAACATTAAACTCTGGCCCGTCCTGACCCAAGATCAGCATTGATTAACAATAACCCAGCGATTGTTTCATTGAATTGTCGTTGCCTTTTAATTTGTCTTCCGTTCATGAGAACTCCACTTAGTTATTTGATATGTTTGAGATTTTTAATCTGAATATAAAAAATTGCCGTGTTATTATTAATGTATGGATGCCCGATTTGTCAACATTTATGATTACTGCTCCGCTCCCTTGGGCAGTAGCATGATGATATATAGCCTTATCAATAAACGGGTTATCTAATGCAAAAAGAATTTTTCAAATCGGATTAATAGTTCCTATGATTAGCGCGTTCAAACAAACAAACTTTGTCTCTTTATTTATACTAGCTACTCACTCTTGCTTCGCTCGGGTTCGTCCCTAGCTCGATTACCCATACAAACTTTCATCCCCATTTTCACCCCCTTAAGGAACGATTTCAGGGAAAAAAAGAATCCTACGTCTATCCCAGGGTCTCAAACTATCTTCTTACTAAATTTCATCTAAATCGGTTCTGTTGATCCAGAGATTACCCCCTACAACGTCACAAACTCACAAACTTTAATTCTTTATAATATTAGTATAGATATAACAATAATTTTGAGATATCAAATAACATTATAAAAATTTTAACGTAGGTAGTCGTACTTATAATATCGGTATCCTAAATCCTTGTCTTACATTATATTAAGAAGTAAATTAAATTTTCAAACAATAAAAAAAAAATGTTTACGTTTTAGTTCTATTATTTATATTTATAAAATATATGTCCTAATATTATTATGTATACCTACCATGAACGAATTAACCACTACCTACTATTATATAATTTGAATCTTCCTTGAGTTGAGTACCTGTACGGTACACTTATTGTCTACTAAGGGGAAAACCTTCCAGTCATATTGATTAACTTTCCCTTCGTATATACTGGGCGCTCTTTTATTCACATAAAAGAAGAACAAAAATTACACTACCGAATGCTCACATTGCCTCTATTAGAAAATGCTTTAACTACGATTTCAGGCGTTTCTCAATATCTTTTAATTTAGTTTCTGAACTTTTGATTTAAGTAATAAAGTAGCTGTTACAGTCATTAAAATTTAAAATATACTAATATCCACGCGAGAAAATGTAGCTAAGTCATGCTACGTGAAATAGATTATATACGTGAATGGCAAAGTTTATCTCGATTGCTTGAAAAGCCGTATAGCATTTATGCAAATAACGTGTGCGTTTTGTATTTATATTATTAGGTATGTAAAATAAATTCTAACTATCAATCTAGTGTAGTATAACTAAAATAAGAATACACTATTCTTGCTGCTCTGCTAGATGTGTGTTTGTTAGTGGTTCACCAATCAATAAATGATGTTCTCTCCTAGCCGATTCCGGCTACGGCGGCCAATATCATTGAGATTAGCCAACTGCGCATGAGATATTATAGTGTTCAGGTGTACGCGCAGGCACAAGTGCACTCTCATACTCCGGTGGGACGACCACTCGACACGACCGGTCAGAGTTAAGGACCGACGGCTTTACGTGCTCTCCGAGGCACGGGGATGAAACACCGCCAACTTCCCAACTCCGAGCTGTTACTGAGGCTTACTATATAGAAAGACTCGATAACTAAACTTGGTCCGACCCGGGACTCGAACCCAGGACCTCCGGGTGTGCAGCCGTACATGCTAGCCACTACACCACCGAGGCAATAATCAATCAATAAATACAGTTTATATAAAATTAGTAATAATAATATTATTTTGATGATATAATGAAATTTTTTTTTTGTAGAAAGCATGCCCGACGGCATCAATCTTGCTGAGAGGCTTGAGTGCGGAACAAACCAACTTAAAAAGCATACTCCAAGAGAAAATTCCTAAGGAACAGGACAAAATCCGAGAGTTCCGCAAGAAACATGGAGCCACTAAAGTCGGCGAAGTCACAGTCGATATGGTGAGTCATTTGCCCTTTAACCCTTACCATACCCTTTTATTATATTGTTGTTTTAGTAAGATCGCTTTTTTATATTAAAGAACATGCAGTAAATTGTAATTCTTATTATAGTATATTAGACGACATGTTATTAGAGACATCTAAAGCCGGTTAAAAAGAAAAGAAATTTTTCTGCATTGGCGTAATGATCGATTTTGGCCTCTGTTGAACATTGCTCTTAGATTGCCCATGTCGCAGTAGATATTACAGTGCACGACAAGTGTGTGCGCACACAAGTGAACTTTCTATATCGCAGGGCCTGTGCCCTTTAAGTGAAAGACATCCAAAGTCCTGTGATAGATGGTTCAAGCTCGGTTACGTAGCACGCCGCCAACTCCCCAGTTCCAGTAAAAATCTATAATATTAACTGATCTAACCCGGAATATGTACCTAAGATTTCCAGAACTGCACCCGAAAATGCATTTACTAGATCAACAAGTTAACTATATATATAATATTTTAGTATTTACATCCTAATAGTAGTGTACGCTATAAATTACTTAAATTAAGTACATGATCAACCTCTAATTTAAATATGCTATCATTGTGAAATTATCGTGTTAGTTATCGTGTATCGTGGTAGTAGCATATGGCCTTATAGCGTCCCAATTACATACATATTTACTTACGAGGAAAATGCAATTTTATAACGGTACAACACTTTAAAACATTTTGTTGTAGTATATTCTGAGAACGTTATAACCTCATTGAAAATATTTTATGTACCTATATTATGTATTTATTATCTGTCGTAGATGTATGGTGGTATGCGAGGCATCAAGGGCTTAGTATGGGAGACGTCCGTTTTAGACCCCGAAGAGGGTATCAGATTCCGTGGCCTCTCGATCCCTGAGTGCCAGCAACAGCTGCCTAAAGTCAAGGGAGGTGAAGAACCCCTCCCAGAGGGCTTGTTCTGGCTCCTCGTAACTGGTGATATACCCACCGAAGCACAAGTCAAGGCTCTATCTAAGGAATGGGCACAGAGGTTAGTTAGTATAATATTCTTTTGCCAATAATAAGTTTAAGAGTCTGTAAATATTTTTGGATGACTGTTACTTAATGATCAGTAACAAATGAATGATTGGTACGTTTTATCTTAGTAATGGCATTGGGATAATAGTTGAAAGTTATTTCTATATATAATCTTATTATGAAAATTAATGTTAAATGTTATAATAATATAAAGAATAAAGTATTTTACTTTTTAGTACTAAACATAACGATAGAAGACGCATTTCACAATGTATACATTTCTTAGTTTTAATATAAACCGTTTATCCAACAGGGCTGAACTTCCCGCGCACGTCGTAACAATGCTCAACAATATGCCGAGCAAACTCCACCCAATGTCGCAGTTCTCAGCGGCAGTGACAGCCCTCAACAGCGAGAGCAAGTTCGCACAGGCCTACTCTGAAGGCGTACACAAATCTAAATACTGGGAGGTGAGTTGTTATTGTAACGTATGTATGTACATATGTATAACTAGAAACGAAAACAAATCTATCCTTCGGGAAATGTATATTTTTGTGTGTTATTCCAGACTATAATCTATCTCTGTGCCAAATTTCATCAAGATCCGTTCAGCCGTTCTGGCGTGAAAGAGTAACAGTCATCCATACATACTCACAAACTTTCACATTACAGAATAGGGAAAATGCGGGTTTTTTTGTTGGTATAGCTTGAAGGAGTAAAAAACAGACAAATTTTTGCGTTTGTTTACATACTCGTATTATGTGTACCGATACTGATTAAATTACTACTTTTTGTTACATATTTAAGTGATAATTAATGCCACAACTAATAAAAAGTGGCTAAAACTTTATTTAAACGTACGAGAATGTTCTAATGTTAAAACGTTTAACAAAAATAACTAAATTATAATTCGATTAGTTAATAAATGCATTTTAATTACTTCATTGTTTGTAAAACTTTATAGTAATAATCTATTATCAAATTAAATGGTATTTTTTGCCTTCTATACTATAAAAATAAACAGATTTATTTTTAAACGGGTTTAACCTTCAATATCCCGTCCCCGAAGGGTGCCAACGGAACCCTATTATTATGCCGCCGCTGTCCGTCTGTCAGAGGGCTGTATCTCATGAACCATAATAGGTAGAGAGTTGAAATTTTCACAGAGAATGGATTTCTATTCCCGGTATAACAATAAATAATAAATTAAAAAAAAATCAAGAATAAAATATGATGATTAATTAAGATACCGTGGCCAAAAAAATTTGGGAACCGCTACGCTCGAGTAATTATACCTGTAGTAGACTATAAATTTAACGACGCAGGCAAAACAGTATAAGCAACCCTAATATACATACAGTCGTCTAACAAGGGCGCCTAGACATATAAACGCGTGTGAGGCGCTCCCGACTGTCATACGTACTTTTATATGTTAGTTGGGAAACGGTTTTAGGGTTGACAGATACAACTAGCTTCCCACGAGATGACCACTACAGTAGAGCTTAACTCAATGGCGGATTTACACATTTGCCGCCAGTAGGCTATACAAATTTGCCGCCCCTATAGTAGAGGTCGCTACAAGTGTCATCTGTCTGTGTCAGCTCAAACACATCCACTATTGGACATAGGCCTCCCCCCAAAGATTTCCACGACAACGGGTCTTGTGCCATCCGCATCCAGTGGGCTCCAGCGACTTTGACCAAGTCGTCGGTCCACCTTGTGGGAGGCCTGCCCACGCTTCGCCAAGTGTTAGTTTCTAGATAATTTTTACAATCCAACGACTTGGTTAAGATTGCACAAGAAATAGTTTTTGGGTATACTTCTGAACTAATAAAAGCTCAATCATGTACTACTAATAAGGTGGGATAAAGTAAGCCTTAATACTGCTTACACAATTATAAATGTTTGCGAGCCATAATTTCTTGAACTAATTATTTAAGCAAATCGTTGAGAAATTTATCTTTGTGCTGAACCATATTACATGTTGAATTGTTTGTGTGGACCTAATAACATTTACGTATGAAACTTTAGGTAATTATAAAACTTTTTAATTCCTGTAAAACAAAAAAAAACATTGACCCCAATTTTGCCAACCCTAAAATCTGCCACCCTAGGCTCTAGTCTACTGAGCCTGCTGGTAAATCCACTGTTAACTTCGAACGGTTCGTTATAAAAAATGATATCTTTAGACAACAAATTTTAACTTTCATTTGACAATATCCGTAAAAATCAAAGACCTACCTAACTAGTCTGCATGGATTTTAATACTGTGCTGTTACTATCCAACAGTACGTATACGAGGACTCAATGAACCTGATCGCCAAGTTGCCAGTGATCGCGGCCACCATTTATCGTAACACATACCGCGATGGCAAGGGCATTGGCGCCATTGACGACAACAAGGACTGGTCGGCCAACTATTGCACCATGCTTGGCTTCGACAACCCCCAGTTCACTGAGCTAATGAGATTGTATCTCACTATTCACAGGTAATTATTATAATTATCATATATTATATTTAGTTTGTTTATATGGGTATGAGGGTTATGGTTTGTTTTATGTGAAATATGTTCCCGTGAATGTATTATTTGTTTTTTTTGTGTAATTTTCATGATTTTTGCGATATATTAGACTGTAGATATATATGAATATATTTCACCTGAACATTGGGCATCGATAATGTAAACCTAAAATGGCAAAAAAATTGTTTTCGAGCTTCAATGGAACTAATAATCCAGAACAAAGAGTGGTGCAAGGGTTTTAATGTTTTAATGTATAAAATATTATTGAGTTTTGAAATAAAAAATTCTAACTGAGTCGAATCTGTACATTAAGTATTTTTTTGAAAATCTTTTTCCAATAGACATTATTATCGATACAAAGGCCGCTTCTATAATTTTTGGAATTTTTGTCTGTCTGTCTGTCTGTTTGTCTGCTGTGTCTGTGACAGCATTACGGAAATACCACTGGAGGGATTTTGATGAAACTTGTTATGGTGATAGCTAGTTATCCGGGTCAACATATAAGATTCTTTTTACTGCGGAAAAATATCTCATCTCTGAGAAATCTATACTAAACGCTAAAACGTTTAACTAGTCGCTAGTTATAAATATTATAATCAAAGTGAATACATAGTTTGAATTCATAAGTATAATTATTAACGCGTGTCGTCACTTTACTCTCGTGTTCTATCTAACAGTAATCAATCTTTCTTAAAGGATAAAAATATGCTTTTGTCCTTTTCATCTGAATCCCTTATCACTCAGTGAAAGTTTCATTAAAATTAGTTACATATATCGGAGATTCGCCGGTACAAATAGATATATATACGAGTACGCATAGAATTGATCGTTTGGGCCCTGTTATCGTGCCTATTTTGAAGTCACAAACACATGCTTTAATTCCATATTTGTGTAAATCATATGAAATGTTAGTTTGCCTCGTGTTAGAAAAACCTTGCGACCTTCAGAGCAGTATGCAACTGTGATCAGAAACGATGAGTTTTGCAATATTTATCTACTTTGTATATGATGATGAAATTAGATTTAATTTTAATCTTCTTTGATGAATCTATGTCATTAAAGATAATAATAAAAACTTAAAAATAAAAAACGAAATAAATCATTTCTTCTTAAACAATTAAATAAATCTTATTCATATACTCAAATTGCAAAAAAAATACTATAATCTATACATGTAATAAAATTGTAACTGAGCCGAATCTGTACATTAAATATTTTTTGGAAAATCTTATTGAAATAAACATTATTATCGATACAGAGGCCGAATCTATACTTTTTCGATTTTTTGTCTGTCTGTCTGTCTGTTTGTTACCGCATCACAGAAAAACCACTGGAGGGATTTTCATGAAATTTGGTATGGTGATAGCTGGTTATCCGGGTCAACATATAGGATACTTTTCACTGCGGAAAAATATCTCATTTCTGAGGAAAAATACAAAAACTGCAATGAATGATTTTTGGTCATCTGAACGTGGGCGGAGCCGCGGGCAATGCTAGTATATTATATAAAGTACAGTGGAATATTTTATCTAAATAACGTCATTGAAGCTGAAACGTTGATATGTTGAGTTTTTATATCGTAAAACAAAATGGTGTCGAAACATTGTAATTTAATGATAATGTTTCAAATTAAAAATTTACAATATAAAAAAAAATATTTTAGTGCAATGAACACATATAACTCGATTCATAGTTGATTTCAATAAAAATAATTAAAAAGTTATACTTATTTAATTATTTAATTTTTCATTTAAAAATTTTTACTACTTGTTTTTGTATAATCCCGTCGAAGTATATAGTAACGTATATGTTTTAATAAGTATCAAGTCTTTATATTGTCACTGGCATTAAACATAAAACGCGATAAGTGACTCGACGTACAGATAATGATCATAAATGGATGTTACGTGACTTGCGTGTGCGCACATATCTGCTCAACAGTGTGAGCCATTTTTAAATTACTCTAAACACGAAATAATGCAATGTTAGATAAATGAATTCTTCCTGAAAATTTTTCTCCGCAGCCTTTTTCTCCGCATCCTTTTTATTTATATTAAAGTTTTTACCTATTTAATAAACCTACGAACTTTACTGTTACGTCATTAAATTATAAGAAAATCATGCATAATCGATTTTCTATTGTCTGTATTAAAAGTAATACGTCAGTAATTTTATGTTACAGAGTAGAAACTCTATTATCAGTACTTCAACTATTTCTCAGAATAAGTGTAGTTAATTCCAATGTCGTTACGATGTATGATTATGCTATATCTACTCTACAAAATGTTATATCCATTTATGTATAAATCGTAAGAGCCATTAGAGGTAAAGTACGTCATGATCTAACAGGTTAGTGATTTAAAACTATGTTTTCCAGTTTTTGATAAACTAGTAAAAAGCGATAAAATATATTAACATTGTTCGCGTCACAATCTGATTCAAACATGAATTTGAATAATTATAATTTGAATAATAATTTAATATTGTCTAATTAAATATTACAAGACTAGCGACTCACTTCGCTCGGGTTTGTCTCTACCTTGATTCTCCATACAAACTTTCAACCCCATTTTCACTCCCTTAAGGGATGATTGCCGGGATAAAAAGTATCCTATGTCCTTCCTAGGGTTTCAAACTATCTTCTTACCAAATTTCATAAAAATCGGTTCAGTATATCCAGAGAATACACCCTACAACGTCACAGACTTACAAATTTTACCTCTTTATAATATTAGTATTACAAGATTATTTGCTATGCGATGAAAAAAAGATAATTGTAAGTATATGTAATTGTGAACGTATAAAAAACAAAGCATAGCTAAATAGCTGCGCATATAGTTAAAGGTTTCTTGTATTTGTGCACTATTCAAATAGTTAATTTTTACGTAACGATCATAAAATATATAGAAAAAAAAATAAAGTTTTATAAAATATCAAGTCGATCAATACGTAAGTAAAGGTTTTTTCCTCTTACAATGTTCATAGCATGCTGTGTTTCCCTGCTATTGCGAATTTACGTGCATCATTTCCATTGCTTTGAATCACGCTCGATTTTAATTTTTACCTCAACAAAATATTTGTTGGCGATCATCTCATCAACAAATCTGTCTACAAATAGACCATCGAGGCGTTGTGAGTGTGTGAAGTGTTCTTGCATACTTGTTTTCATACTCGTACACATACAAAGCCCCAACATTTAGCTATATGATTATACACGTGTGTTGCTAACGTCGCTTTATCGCACAATTAAATACAGTGCGGTAAAAACGAATTTTATCAGTATTTTACATATAAATATATTAAAACGAAATTTAAAATGTTACATAAGAGTTGATCTAGATAATATCTTTTTAAAAGTCATTGTTGCCAGGGAGTGAACTTTGTTGCTCCGATTGACATACAAATTGCAACCGTACCAATACTAAATATAAACACATGCATTTACTGATCGTATGCGATTTTTGTTAACAAAATTACTTGTGACATTCTGACGCCTTGCTTTGCGAATATTTTATTGCAATACAGCCGACCTTGAGACATCTTCACAATGAAAATGGCTCTTTAAATTTATTGTATAATTTTTTTGTGACTCATCCACTTACGATATAACGCTCAACGGAAAAGTTCTTAACGTACACCGTACGTCGGACGTTTATTTAGTTTATATCTTAGTTTATAAATGCCATATTTGTACTCGAAATACAATGTAGTATCAAAAAATTAGCAAATATTGTTTTATAGGGTCTCTAATAAACCAACTGAACGGAATTTTATCTTGTATTATGTAACTAGATTTATCGCGTTAAATCATTTACGAAATATTTGCATGAACGTTATCATTTTTTTTTATTGATAATTCGCGATAAACTCATCAAGGGATATTACAGTTATCGAGATATAAGATTGTGTGCGTTGGATATCAAATTATTGTACCGCGTAATTCAAGCTAGGTTTTTTACATACATACAGAGGCTACACTGACCGCATTGCGATGTTTTAAATTTAACAATGATTACATAACATAAGTATCGATGAGGTAGTCTATTCATTTGTCTACTGAGTACTACTTAATGTGACAATGGTTTCATATATCTTTAGTGACTTTACTTTCAAATAAGAATTTAAATTATTCTGAATCGACATCAAAAGAGAATTGAAATTTTGATTTTTGAATGCATCTTCATTAGTCGCTACTATATTATAAAAGTTTAAATACGTCTCCCATCGATAATAATTGTTTTTTTTTTATTATAAAAATGAGTATAAGGCATTTAGTTACATAATAGCAATATATCAAAGTTGATCTGCTTTAATACCGAGTCAAAGTCAAGTAAATACATGATATCTATGACAAATGTGTGATGTTAGGTACTTATATGCAAAAATAAAGAGATAAGCTTATTGCTTAAGCAATAGCGAATAACTGATAAAACATATATATGTATGCATAAATTATTAAATGATACTTCAATAGTGGTATTATAATTATTAATTCAAATATATTACTATTATAATATGTACGATTATATGTACTACAATAATACATGAATAAAAAATTACCAAAACGAGCTCTCTATATTATTATCAAACTAGCGACTCACGCTCGCTTCGCTCCGGTTCGTCATTAGGTACGTTTTAACGGTTAGTATGAAATAGAAATCTTTGAATTTCTCGGTTATTCTGTACCATAATATGCATGTATTATACATATAAACCTACCTCTTGAATTACTCTATTAAAAAAACGCATCAAAATCCGTTGCATAGTTTTAAAGATCTAAGCATACATAGGGACAGACAGACAGCGGGAAGCGACTTTGTTTTATACTATGTAGTGATACATATGTAATATGTATGCTGATTACTTGATAACTATGTGAATGTTTTATGTTATAACTAGCATTGCCCGCAGCTTCGCCCGCTTTTAGCGGACAAAAAACCAAATTCTTAGGTTTTACAGATTAGTATACTCTTACATTGCAGTTTTTACACTTTTTCTCAGAAATGAGATATTTTCCCGCGGTAAAAAGTATCCTATATATTGACCCGGATAACCAGCTATTACCATACCAAATTTTATCGAAATCCAGTGGTTTTTCTGTGATGCGGTAACAGACAGACAGACAAAAATTCTAAAAACTATAGATTCGGCCTCTGTTTCGATAATAACGTTTATTTCAATTAGATTTTCCAAAAAATATTTAATGTACAGATTAGGCTTAGTTACAATTTTATTATATGTATAGATATTAAGGTCATTTTGAGTTGCTATGCACATTGTAGGATGTAATAGTTGAGCTCTGCGAAATTTGAATAGTCGTCGCGTGATTTCCACGTGCTGAACTCAACGTTGAGTTATCAGAGTGCCACTAGGTCGTTTTTACTTAATAATTGTGTAAAATTATGTCAATGTCTTATCGAAACAATGTCATGATTAAGTGTCAAAGAACCAATTTCGTATTAAATTAATTATCTTACATTGTGTACAAAAGTCGGATATTACAATGCTAAAAGAACTAGATAACTAAAGTAGGTTAGGGTAACTTAACTACGTGTTGTTTTTACATTACCATTGAATATTTTGTATTTACACAACGGATTAGAGTACGAAATGAAGTCATCCAATAGGTTCTTAAATATACATATACTATTAAAATTAGGCAAATATTCGCTTATATATATGTAACACTAGCGACTCACCCTCACTTCGCTCAGGTTCGTCCCTAGGTACATTTTATATTAAAATGGATATAGTATGTTATCCTTAAGAGATAGACATAATTCGTTGGCTTACTATTACAAGGTTCTATGTTAATTTTAATGTAGTTTAGTAATTTTTACATAGAACTTCGTTATTTTGTTATCGTAAGAAAAAAACAACATAGAACTATGTAAAATTGAATATTGTAGTTATAGTGCCGCTATCTAGTGGTTTGTTTTTGCAAAACTGTTGCTAATAACACATAGAACCTTGTAGCATTAATAACTAAATAAGTACTAAAATTGTAACATAGAACCTTGTAATAGTGAGCCAACGAATTATGCCATCGCGGACTTTTCTGTAGACTTATTAAGATACACAATTCCACCACACATTTTTTTGTTATATCTCAAAGCTCCCAGAGGGCTTATTTTTTTCGACACCACCTCCAACAAATATTGTTATATTTTAGCCAATGTATACAAAAACTTAACAAATTATATACTAAAACCTTCATCTTGAATGACTCTATCTATTAAAAGCCCGCATAAAATCCGTTGCGTGGTTTTATATATCTAAGCATACATAGGGACAGACAGACAGCGGGAAGACTATGTAGTGATACACTTGTTTCACGTTATCTATAAAGGGACACCTTATTTCAGTGACCACGAGGGAGGCAACGTATCAGCTCACACCACTCACTTAGTGGGCTCAGCTCTTAGTGACCCCTACCTGTCCTTCGCGGCTGGACTTAACGGCCTTGCGGGTCCTCTCCATGGTCTTGCTAACCAGGAGGTGAGTATTTGCCTTGACTTGGGTTGGTTTAATTTTTATTTTTTAATGTAAAATAAACGACCATGACACAAATATCCCACGACAGTTACGGGCTATGTAATAGCTATAAATATTCTGCTTTTAGACTTGTTGTTCTTCATAACTAAAAGTTTATTTTGATGAAATGTTTGGCTCAGTTTGTAGTGACCCTACTTGCAGTGCCAGCAGTCGCGGGTTCGAGTCCCGCTGGGGGCATTCATTTGTGTGATGAGCACAAATGTTTGTACTCCAATCATGGGTGTTTATATTTATAATATACATATGTTTTTAATATTATGTGTGTAGTGTATCAACATCTGGTATCCATAACGCAGGCCTCATAGCTTACCATGGAACTAGATGATGCTGTGTGTTAATGTCCCAACATATTTTGAAATTGACAAGTGAATAGAAATTCTAATTGGTATTTTGCTTGTAATCCAGCCACAAAAGCAATTATAAATATATCGATTAACAAATTTAGCACTAATTTGATATACCTATGTATGTATAATATACGTTAAATAATTCAAAGTATGTATGATACTTCAACCTTAATTAACTTAAGTATCAGCATAATATGCAGCAATAATTTAAAACAGGAAAACTAAAAGTGGCTACGTTGATAAAACTGCAAATTACACGAAAACATCCTTGCAAACAAAGGACACTTACAGCACGGTTTATGTCGTCATTGTTCTAAATAATAAACAAACACTTTAAAGTATTATAATATTAGTACAATAAAATATATAAAAGCGAATGTGATATATTTGTTATTTGTTAATGTGCGAAATTTGGACATATATCTATGCTCCGACTCCGACTTTGACTTCCGACTGCATATTTTTCTGTTCCTCTGTCAACTTGTTCTTATCTTTTTAGTTCGGTTTTAAAGCAGTCGAGATTTTAATTTTTATAAATTATTTTGTAATAATAATTTATTTATTATTTACATATTTATTTACATTTTTATTTACATATTTAATTAACAATTTCTAATCGCAATTTATTTGTAAGCAAATAAGTAGTACGTATTTTTGAAATTGACTTTAAATCCTATATTCTGATACCCCACTCGATAGGATTGGAACAAAAATGTTTCAAGCCACACAAATGGGCGCTTATATCTGCTGTTTTGATTTTTTATGATATTAGCCTATACACTTGCGTTATCAAGACGTATCTAAGGACATATAAATCAATAAAATTTGGGCTTCGCCGCAGTCAGATAAAAAATATATTAAGTATGAGGTTATAAGAAAACAATTGGCACTCCTAGGAATAGATTACTTATAAATATATTATTAATCACATTGTAATGATATTATTAATAGATTGTTCTAGCGGTTATTTTATAAGGATATTCATTAAGGTCAATATTCATATTTATATACTTATTTACGAGAATAGGTAAATTGGACGTGAATAGAGTAGGTTTTCTTTGTGCACGTTCCTCAAAGTATAAATGTATCCATAAATGTAAGTATCCAAAAGAAAAATGTAGTTTTAATACACCGATTTCAAAATCACTTATAAGTAATTATTCCACCCTCAAAGGTGGAGTTTGTTGGAAATTTAAATAAGGTTTCGCTTGAGGTTATGACCTATTCATAAAAAAAAAATTTTAAAAATTGATTTACTATTTGAGAAGATATAGAGTAATATACCTACACACACAAAACAAAACCCACTTGAGTAGTACTGACATCCTCTTTATTGAAGGGGGTCAAAAAACTAAAAAAATATAATGTATTTTCCTATGGTAATGTATGGAGTTTGTCGAAACGAATTAAATGAACCCAAACTCGGGATTTTACAAGTAACCATTAGAAAGTTCCAGTATCCTCCACCTCCACCTTCTGGCTCCATTCTCAGATCAGATTTTATCAATTATTGTATTGTTATCCCGATTTGACACACAAAATACCATATTAAATATACTAATAAAAGTTCGAAATTATAAACTTAAATATTTGCTTGTGTTTTAGTAGTGTGCTGAAATTATTTAATATAGCAAGCTCATTTGCATCGCAATGCCTTATCTCTTCTTACCGACAAATGTCACTGTGTCGAAGTTACGAGTTCTCGTGGCAATGGCCGTTCAGCGCTTTTGGAGATTTGCATTTTTTAATAGAAAATCTTCGCACAATATGTATTTTGATATAGAAAAATCAAAGTAAAAAAATCAACAAATATTATATATTTTTCTTCTATGTTCTTATATTTTTTTTATAAAGAAATTTTAAATAGCATATATATTATATACTAACGACTCACCCTAGCTTCGCTCGTGATCGTCTCTAGCTTGATTCCCCATACAAACTTTCATCCCCATTTTCACCGCCTTATGGGATGATTTCCGGGATAGAAAGTCATTAATAAAAATCCTATGTCCTTCCCAGGATCTCAAACTATCTTACCAAATTTTATCTAAATTGGTTCCGTAGATCGAGAGATTACCCCCTACGACCTCACAAACTCGCAAACTTTACCTCTTTATAATATTAGTATAGCTTTTTTTTTAAATGAATATTTCAAATCCCAAATACCAAAAAAGCAAAGAAATATTACATTTCAATAAAAAATTGTTTGTATTTGATCCATAGGTACTAATCTGGTTGGAGAAACTTCGTAAGCAAGTTGGTGATGACTTCACGGAAGAAGGTCTGAAGGAGTTCATCTGGAAGACCCTGAAGTCTGGACAGGTTGTGCCTGGTTATGGCCATGCTGTACTTAGAAAGACTGATCCTAGGTAATTAAAGGATTTATAATTTGCTGTGTTTCTTGTTAAAATAGAAAAATAGAAAATTAACATACTCATTTTTATTAATATTGCTAATTTTACTAGATCTTTATAATATTTACACTATAAACTAGCGACTCACCCTCGCTTCGCTCGGTTTCGTCCCTTGGCACGTTTTATTTTATTTTTAAGCGGATTCCTAATTGAATTTCTAAAATAAAAGTAGCCAAGTTACTCCCTATAACATCATCTATCTGCCAGTGAAAGTCCCGTCAAAATCAGTCCAGCCGTTTCGGAGATTAGCTGGAACAAACAGACAGACAGACAAAAATTATAAAACTTATGAATTTCTTATAACTACCGTATTCATAGAAAAGGCAGTGGTAGCCCAGTGGTAACGCGCTAGCTTGAGAAACCGAGTGAAGCGGGTTCAAATCCCGGGTCTCGCACCTCTGATATTTTCATGTGCGAATCATTTCTAACATGATTACCACTTGCCTTACGGTGAAGGAAAACATCGTGAGGAAACCTGCATGTCTGAGAGAACTTAGCAAGTTTTCTAAAGACATGTGAAGTCCGCCAACCCGCACTTGGCCAGCGTGGTGGACTATGGCCTGATTCCCCTCGTACTGAAGGGAGGCCCGTGCCCAGCAGTGGGACGATAAAAAGGGCTGAATACACATACACCGTATTCATTTAGTAAAAAGCTGTTATTTTGACATTACAAACGGACGTGTCAGTTTTATTTATCTTTATGGATTATTGTTGTGCTTAAATAAACAAGTACCTATCTAAAATACAGATACACGTGCCAACGCGAGTTCGCGCTCAAACATCTGCCCAACGACCCCCTGTTCAAGCTGGTAGCAGCGGTGTACAAGGTTGTCCCACCAATCCTAACTGAGCTCGGCAAGGTCAAGAACCCATGGCCCAATGTGGACTCGCACTCTGGTGTACTGTTACAGGTATGAACATATTTGTTGTTCTATGTATATTTGTTGCTGCAAGATCGTATAATGGGATACAAAAATTGTAAAATATGGTTATTTTATGTGTTTCATTTTAAGTTATTACGTATTTTTATTGATTTTTTTTATTCATCACAGACTATTTCTCAACAGTTTTGTTAATTTCTATAATAAAATTTGATTTGGTATAATTTGAGCGGCCTCGCGGTATAAAATAATTGCTTCCTATGCCAACGGTCGCGGGTTTGAGTCCCGCTGGGGACATTCATTTGTGATGAGCACAAATGTTTGTACTCCAATCATGAAAGTTTATATTTATAATATGTATGTATTTAAAGTTATATATGTGTAGTGTATCAACTATCTGGTATTCATAACACATGCCTCGTAGCTTACCATGGAACTAGATGGTGGTGTGTGTTAATGTCCCAACATATTTATTTATTATCTATTTAATTTACAGTATTACGGACTGAAGGAGATGAACTACTACACGGTGATGTTTGGAGTATCCCGTGCCCTCGGTGTTCTGGCTCAACTGATCTGGTCACGAGCCCTGGGCTTCCCCATAGAACGCCCTAAATCATTAAGCACTGAACTACTTATCAAACAAATTGGCAAGTAAAGTGTATCGGCAATACTTAGATCTAGTCAATCTAGATCAGATTGGTTTGGCGGTTCACATTGTTAGTGGGTTAGGGTTGTCATATAAATAAATTTTAATAATTAAATGTAGCCAAATATTAATAATTGTTTGAATTTTTCTATCATATTTGTAGTTGTAAGGCAACCCTGAAACACTATGTTATATTGAACTTTGTTAAATCAATTTAACAGTGTAACCGTCAAGCTAAATTTTTTTTTGTCTACGTACTTCAAGTTTTAGCAGTAACCGGATAACATCACCATTTTTGCATCTCATAAAAATAATGATTGAGAATTATTGGACCGTATTATTGCAGAATGATCACATAACACGAGTGACGATTCAAATTTTAAATAATTTAATTTGCGGTATTAGCTTCCATTCATTATTTGCATGCAATATGCAACGGCTCGTCTCACACAAAACCAACAGTCAATTTATTAAAGATTCCTCGTGAATACTTCAAAATTATCGTTTGTTCATTTCACTAGAGCTAGGTGTAAGTGGATGTTTTGATGTTGTTTTTATTTATATATTTGTTGTTGCTATACTTCGTACTTATGTATCTGTGATTGTATATTATTTTGTATGTTGTATTAATCGGTTCGGTATATTTCGGTGATAAATTGACTTGGTCGTGTGATACAGCTGTTTTAGCTGCGTAGTGTTAGTACTAGAGTTTGTTGGGTCATCTAGATCATTATATATTTGTAGGGTTTTCATAGCAAATTCGACGGTATGCTGTGCATACTGTCCGTAGTACGAATACGAACACGATATTCGCGCCCATTTATCGAGTAATTCTAATAACTCAGTATTGTATCGTCTTTGTTGTACTTAGCTTCAATGGTTTCTGTGCAGTAAGACGAATAGATGGCGTGGGCCGATGGGTTTTTAAAGGAAAACGACGATCATATTCCACGCCTGTAATTTCTTGGATCACCTATTTATTTATTTATCATCCTTCCGACACATGTTCGTAGTTGTACTGTAATATAATTTCAAGTTACCAAAGTATTGATGTAATTTATTTGAGAATAAAAAGAACAATAATTGAACAGCTGTGGATCATGGAATGTGTTTATTTAACTCAATATTATTATATACATCTGTTGGATATTGAATTCATTGCAGCCTCGTCGTGAACCTCATGACGTCATTGTAATTGTTAAATCATGAATATTTATTGAAGCATCGTGCGTTGTGTGACAAGTATCATGGCGATAAAACATAAATTGACAATACTAAAATAAATTGGTACGGTGTAGTAAATTTGTGGTGTTTCAATTTGTAGTGCAGTCTCAAACAGTTGCTTTACATAAGCAAGGTTCTGGTCTCCTTTTTTATGTATTTGTCTGTGTAAAGTGACAACGGCTGTACTATAATAAATCCCTTAAATTAAACATAATATGTACATTATTGTACTAGAAGTCTAAATAAGTAAGTCTGCCTCAGCTTCGCCTTTCTTTTTATTGACCCAATTTCCTTTCCCATATAAATATTTCCTTCTTAATACTTCCTTAGATTTACGCGAATATTTGACATCTATACATATAATAAAATTCCAACTAAGTCGAATCTGTACATTAAATATTTTTCGGAAAAATCATATTGTAATAGACATTATTATCGATACAGAGTCCGAATCTATAGTTTTTAGAACTTAAATATGTCTGTCTGTCTGTTACCGCATCACGAGAAAACCACTGGACAGATTTTGATGAAATTTGGTATGATGATAGCTGGTCATTCGGATCAACATATAGGATACTTTATACCGCGGGAAAATATCTCATTTCTGAGGAAAAATACAAAAACTGCATTGTAAGAGTATACTAATATGTAAAACCTAAGAATTTGCTTTATGGTCATTTGAACGCGGGCGAAGCCGCGTGCAATGCTAGTTTATCTATATAATTTAAAAAGAATTATAGAAGTGTATGTACGCGCATAATTTTGGACCGACTGCAGCAAATTGGATAAATTTTTTTTGTGTTTGTTATTGTCAGGAAGTTTTGTATAGAAGAAAATTAAAATAATTTTTTTTACTAAAATATTTTTTTAAATCTCATGATATGAAAAGTGAGTGAAATAGTTTTTATCCCTTAAGGGGGTGAGAATGGGGATGAAAGGTTGTATGGGGAAGCAAGCTAAGGACGAACCCGTGCAAAGCGAGGGTCAGTCGCTAGTTTTAAATAAAACTATCTTTTCGGATCATTTCGCGGATTTATTTTTGGTTCCCGACGTTTCGAATGTTTTACAGCGCACATGGTCAAGGGAGAGACTAAGGTTTTAGACGTCTCAAGGCTTTATATACTTGTTACAGTTATTCCCTACTTTCTCACGACTTGAATTTAAAAAAAATTTTGCTATATATGCAATTGTTGTATTTGGGCCATGATAGGCAGACAGGACAAGCAACTTTATGCTGTATAGTGTTGATAATGATGATGATGTCCTCCCGAGGATTTCGGGAGCTCAAAAGCACTTGTAATAAGTCTAATTGAATAAAGTTTATTTCATCAATTCACATGTAACATGTAGGTACATTGAACACTTACTGAGTATAGTATTATTACTGATTATTTATAGAGTTTAGTAGTTTAAATTATTTATTGTACGTACTATAATATTATCTTGAATAATTAATTATTTAACCGACTTCAAAAAGTAGAGAGTTTTGAAATTGGTTTTTCTTGTGTATGTTACGCGATGTCTACCTAATATCAGCAGATTTAAATTTTTTTTTAAAGAATTTAAGTAAAGTGTGACTTAAAAGTATCAAGGAAAACTCCACTCCTGTTTTAATATAATTTTGAAGTCTTTGTACTGTACGTTTAATTAGAAAGTTAAACTTAGGTATTTAATTATTTTTGTTATTTAAAAATAATTATATTTTCCAAAGGAAACCTTTAATTTCTATGTTACATTTTATTCTGGACAGGTATAAGAAGCAAGAAATCAGTTGAAATCGAGTCAAGACCAAATAATTAAACAAGATTATAATCGTATTTTTAAATGTGAGGAAAAAAATTCTGTTATTCAAATTTATTAAAAATAGTAAGTCATTGATTTTTAAACATCAATTATTATTGTATTTTGTACATCCTCTTTTTTAAAGGAATGGACATCGCATATACAATATATACAAATTCCATTCGTTTATATTATATATAACTTGCTCGCTTGGAAACCAAATGAAGCGAGTTCGAACCCAGTAACAGTTATTTTTATGTAACTCTTCAGCTGAATCCGCGATCATACTTCACTTTTACACTAATTTGAAGTATGCTCGCAGATTCAGCTTTCGAGCTACCTATAAAGGTTCTTACAGATTAATCTTACAAGTCTCGCATTTCTGAAATTTCCATACATAAAGGAATGATCGTAATAGCAATTAATCATTGCTTTGGATCATCTTGAGCATGATTGTAAAAGGAAACTACAGATTAGAGAGAATTAGTTAGATTTTTTTTATTTACGAATACAGGAATGAGATCCGTCGGTTCCGGGACTTAAAAGTTAATTTTTTTGCGCTCTTACAATCTAAACATAGTACCATTTCGAGGGTAGAATTTCTTTGATAAAATAATTTATATATACTGTTGTGAAAGAATAAGGGCGCCATATCGACTTGGGCCTATGGCGCCATCGATCCTAAATCCACTATTGCGGTAATGAATTCAATTGTTGTCGTAAGATATGTGAAGTCTGCCAACGCCTGGACTAGGCCTAATCCCACATGCTTGTGCCCTGCACGGAAACGTGACAAGGACTGAATTATTATATTGTTAAGATACTTCAGAAAAAAATGCACTTATTGTTAAAAGTGCCACCGTGACTACTTAGCAATTAGGATAGCCCAGGTATCTGACACGTGCCACCGGGTTAGCCTCTTAGGTTGTCGGATCGATTTGCTAATTATGGATATTTTATCGCAAATTTGCTTTTTGTCATTAAGAGTCATGAATAATTTAATAAATTTTAAATAAAATGAAAAAATCCCATCCACACTATAGAGCTTTACAATATATTGAGGGCCATATAGTGATCGCGACATCTGGCGAGAGAAAAAGGCAAAATTCTTTCCCATTATACTTTTGTTCAACCGCCCGTGGTCCAAAACTGAGTCTTCGAACCATCAAGACTGTTGCTTTGATTGCTTCTGGAAATTACTGTTAAAAAATTATAATGATGCAATTAAATGAAACCTTTATGTTCCGAGCTCTGTTTATTAATGGTAATACTTAAAACTATATTAGTCTTATTAGTTATTAGATACTAATAAATTATATTTCATTTTAAAATTATTAAATTCTTACAATATTAAATTCGGAATGGTTTTATTTGGAAATTTGTATTACATTAATTTAGTATATGTAATAAAAATAAGAAGATAAAATATAGAGAAAATAAACTTATATACAAGGTATTCCAAGGTAAGGTAAGGATGATTTCCGGGATAAAAACTATCCTATGTCCTTCTCAGGATTTCAAACTATTTTCTTACCATATTTCATCTAAATCGGTCCAGTGGATCCAGAGATTACCATTATTTACCCCTACAAACTCACAAAGTTTGTCACTTTATAATGTTAGCATAGATATAATATATTTTTTATTTGAACACTGTGGCCTCTGGAAGTCAGATTTGGAAACACTTTGCATGTTACAACCTATCTTTTGTGGAAGTTAACATATTGGATCCTTAAGGGAGGAGTAAGTATTAATTAAGCATTAGCCGAGCAAAGTCGCGGGCAATAACTAGTATTAAGTATTTACATTTACTCTTGTGGTCGACATAAGCTACTATAAATTATAAATAGATACTCAAGAAGAAATATTAGATGTATAAGAATTTACATCTGAGGTAAGAAATATTGTAAAAGACAATAGAATTTACAAAACAATTGGAAAAACAGGGCAAGTGTTTAATAGTATCTTGAGCTTAAGTAAGCTATCTATACAAAAAATATTTTATAAAACAATTATTGTGACGTATTGAGTACAGAATATAGACCATAAAACAATAGTAAATTTTTTGTCTGTTTGTCTGTATGTATGAGCGCGTTTCACGCAAAAAGTACTGAACACATTTTAACTAAATTTTGTGCAGTGATAGCTTACTACTCAGGTCAACATTTAGGACATCTTTTACTTCAGGAAATCTTTCATTCTTATGGGAAAATACAATAACTGGTTTTATCGATTCGTAAATTTACATGTCTAACGCTGGCTAAGTCTTAAGAGATACATCAAAACAATGCACTAGAAAATTGTACATCTTAATAAGGCCTACAGAAAAATCTGCAATAGCATAAGTCCTAAGGTACACTCGCAATAAATATTCATATCTATTTAAAACATACATAAGGAAGGGCGAAGCGAGGGTAAGTTGCTAGTCCGTATTTTATATATTAATATTATAAATGTGAAAGTTTGTGAGTATGTATGGATGTTTGTTACTCTTTCACACCAGTACTGCTGAACGGATCTGGATGAAATTTGGCACAGAGATAGATTATAGTCTGGAATAACACATAGGCTACATTTTATGCCGAAATAATGTACGATTCCTGTGGCATAGGTTTGTTTTTGTTTTCCTATAGGTGAAGGGGAGCGAGGGTGAGCCAGTAGTAATACATAATACTCAAACTAACCCCTGAATTAAGTTAAATGAAGTACCTACTAAATGGAACCACATTACTATGAACACTATGGACGTTTTAATTTACAGAATTTTTTTGCCTTTTATATTTGGTTCTTGTTTATTATATATTTCTAATTCCTCGACAGTTGTAGATACTTCAGTTACCAGTATGTCGTCCTCGGTATCTGTTGGATTAATGACTTGATCTTGTTGGTCACAGGTTTGTTTACATTGAATATTTTCACTACATACCCTCCATTCGTCGAGGACGAGCAAGTGTTTGCTTAAATCCCAACCTGGGTAAGATAGTATAACTTTATTTAAAAATTAATTTTCAATTTTAATATATTTTCAATATGGCAGTGCATAATCTATTTTAGTTATATATACTAAAATATACTACATACATCTATCTGCTATCTATACATTTAAAAATCAGTCAAGTGTCATATGTTCCCTGTGGACTTCAAAAAGGCTGGAGCGATTTTGATAAAATTTTCAGGCGATGTTTAGATTATCCCGGCGGCTGATCCTGTGACGCGGGCGAAGCCGCGGGTACTGCTAGTTCACTATATTATTTAAGCATTACTTAATACTTATGTTAAGTTTAGGCCACTTACACATTGGCAGCATTAGGTAAATATTAATAATGCTAAGGTATATATTTCTTACCAGCTTGTATAAGTGCGGGTTTTAAAACTTCCCATTCTCTAACAGCAATATCATGGACGTATTTTAGTAGCTCAAAGGAAGGCTCAATAAATTTATCGTCATGGCTAATAATTCGGCTCCACTCGGCAGTTTGTAACGTTTGACACACTTGAGCTAATGGCCTTGTGTTGTAACTCTTATCGAATATTGTCTGAAATAATTTGTTTTTAAATAAAAAAGACTATCGAATTGACAATCATTTTAAAAGTATTTTTTCTTAAAATTTACATAATATAGTAAATAATTCCTCATGACCGATATCGGCCACGGCGGTCGATCTTTTATACTAGACTCGCCAATTTCCCAGGAGATATTATAGTGCACAAGTATGCGCATAAACACTATTCCTGTTACTGTCATACTCTATACGCGATGGGAGAACCATTCGACAAGATCGGTGAGAGTTAAGGGACATAGGGATGTAACAGCATTTTCCAGAAAAACACTAACTATACTTGGCTCGACGTGAGACTCGAACCTACAACCTCCCGATCCGAAGTCTTACTTGTCAGTTGCTGTCACAATGAGATATTAATTATACCTAATATATGGAATATCTTGAGATTTCTTTAAAAAAAAGAATTATGATCTCTTTCATTTTAATTTGTTCGATAGAACATAAACTGTCTTTAAGCAGCAAAAAAACTCGAAATAATAATCAGGGAATTTTAGGTTGTTTGAACAAGTTATTTAGGAACAAGTCGGCATGTCCAGAAAAATTAATACTTACCAAATGATGATCTTTAAGAGCACAGATTACGATGGAGAGTAGCACCGCATGGAAATAAGCACATAGCACGTCATCAACTGTGCCGTTATCTTTGATAAACACGTGCATTACTCTTGTATCCTTGTGTGTGAACAAAATATAATTTCTATCACTGTATAAAACATTAATGAGTTCCCAATGCATTGCAATATATGATTTAGTCATAACTTGAGACATCGATTGACCAAGTTTTATTTGATATCCGCATATTATTAAATCTGCAATCAAAATGACTTAATACTTCAAGGTGTCGAAGTTTTAGTTGTGATATAGTTAACATTTTTTTATAATGTACTAAATTGAAAATTTTTCAATAAAATCGTGCACAGTATAGCATTATATTATAGATTCTGTCCCTACAAAACTAATATAAGTAACGAACTTACCTAACATATTAGATCCGAGTTGATAGAGTATAATAGGCTCAGACCTGTTGATTTTACAAGGAGTTTCTACTTGTTCCTTCTTCAAATACTCGTCAATGACTAGTAAGAACCTGGGCTCATTGAGAGACCTCAAACATACAGCTCGCACCGCGAGATAGTTGAATGAAATATGGAGGATCAACATCAAGAAAAATATGAAAATGGAATTTCTGTAATAAGATTTCTATATTAGTCCAAGAATATAAAATCTATATAAGCACTGTTAGCCTAACAACACATAAATCATATCATACATTTTGAAATCTAGTAAAACTTGATTTTTATTAAAATTATATTGCAATTGAAATTTTAAATTTTAATATTTCATTTTTACCCAAAAATAGATATGATAAATAATGCAACCATAGATGCAACTAGATTAACAGCAGTCTCTTGAGCAGAATCTTTAGCTGCCACATCAGCCATGTTGCCTCGAATAGCATGATGTTGAGTCATAGCAGCCCGTGTCGCACCACCTAAAAAAATATCTTTTGAGACTTTATCTTGGTGTGAGTATAAATGACTAGAGAATTTTGTTATAATATGCTGTTATAAAAGCCTGTTAGTTCTTTAGTTATTTAAAATTTTATATGGTATGTATACAAGAGCTTAATTTAGTCATTTAAGTTAAAATTGAACCAATTTACCTGCTACTCCAACAATAGCTTTCATAATAGTGCTTATGCATAAAGCAAATGTGACATATTTACTGAATAAAGGCAATGCTATTTCTATGCACATAGCTGCATTGTTTAATATATCTGCAAATAGCCTCCATTTCTTACTGTATGCATCCAAGTGTGTGCTGTAAAAATTATAATTAAATTTTATGATTAAAAATTTTACTTTTGTAGGAATAAAATTCCTTTAGTCAAAATGTACAAGATTGAAAAAATGGCAAATTATCTTACCCATGGCTGTATGCAAAAAGTATTCTCCCTAGATGGCCACAACCATCTTTAAGAACCCATGTAACAGTTGCAGCCAGTGGGGTGGCATTAGTATCTCCCACACCCATTCCACGTAATACTTCTTGTGTAGCTAAAATACCTACAATGATAATTTATAGTATTTTACTAGTCTATTGTGTCAAATAAAGTAGATATATAAAAGTTATCTTTTACATGAAAATATTGATTTACCTGTGATAGTACTGCAAAATGCTTGTGCAGTATCCCATATTTGATATGCAGTGTAATCTTTACTTACACTATAAGGATAACCCTGAGGCATGAATATTTTAGTAAAAATACCAGAAATATTGCTTAATTTTTCATTTTTCAAAACCATTATATTATATTGATCTACAAACAGATGTATTAATAATTTTTTGTTGAATTATCTTTGGCCACATTTTTACAGGAAACTTTATACTAATTTGTTCTGATCATACCTGGTGGCTTCACATAGTATCTTTCCTTCGAATCACCATATTTCTCTTTAAATAAAATTGCTGCACTGTTTGCTTCCATCTTAAGCTTTTATTACTACATACATATGGACATTAAAAAATACTTGGTCTAGATAACATCACAACGCATAGATTAGGAGAAATAAACTCTTTATGAAAAGAACTTCACTTCTTATTATATTAGTCATGTAAATGATTATAAAGAAATATATATATAGATATTTTAAAGGTAAAAGGACATGTATAGAGCAAGAGCCCGTGAACGCCGGGTTTGCCACGATGTTAAGTGTCTGGCATTGAATGACGTGATTTTTAATAATATTCTGAAGATAATACCAAAAAATCACACTTTATTATTTGACGAATTTAGATCGGTATTTTACACACCTTTAGTACCGTGTACCTGCCAAAGCCACCATAGCCTGAACTTCATGATGGTCCATCATTCTTATGTGTTGGGAGCATGCGCTGATAAACTTTCAGCCTTTATAAAATGACGAAGGTCTGGCGTTCACAGGCTCTAAGGCCAGTACGTTATTAAGTTGTTGACATTCATTAATAAACAATAACAATTTTAAACATATTATATTAATTGCGAAAGACATTTGGAAGAAATAGAATTTTTCAAGAAATGTTTATCAAAATCCTAACAACATTGGTGTTTTTCAATTAAGAAATAGCATGAAAAACGTAAACAATAGCTTCAAAAAATCAGTCTAGTTCTACTATTTGATTTGTATTTTGTACAGTACCTACCTAGACAACGACCACTCAGTTGGGTATATAATATATATCACTCTATATGTAGCAATATACTCTATGGTGGTCATTGTACCTAGATAACCTAACTTGTTGTTCTGTTTTCCTGGTCTGTGGCATCGATGACAAATAAAAGTCTGTGGTACCTACGAGATTTTTGATATTTTTCACAGATAAAGGCATAAATTATCAGAAATTAATATTAAAAAAATCATTTACAAAAATATAAAACCCAACTGCGTAAAAGAAGAACTACAAGGATGAGAAAAAGATAAGGAAGTAACAGTATTATGCAGTAAGACACATACATGTTTTATATTTGCTGCAATAAACTGATAAGTTGTGTATATTTTTGTAATTAGCTTCTAAAAACCTTTATTTTGAAAACCCACTCGATTGATTCGGGATTCGGAAAAAAATCCATACACAAATTGGCGTCTAGGATCCGCCACGTTCATTTTTAATGATATCATTACATTATAAATCAAATACATATACACTCGCGTGCAACTGAATCGACTCAAGCCGTATATTGGTATATAAGTTTGATTTTTCGGAAAATGGCTTATCCGATTTTTGTAAAAGTTTTTTATTTGAAAGACATATTTTTTTTCTCATAAATATAGCAATTTTTAAGTAAACAATGACATTTTTTTTAAATAAATACGGTCAAACATGAGCGTTACAGAAATTACTCGTTGCGTTACCCACGAGTTGCGAGACTAAATCATGTATAAAAGCTCACGTGACCCATATTTCTTATCAGTCACTCGTCAGACGTTGACCGGTACACATCTCCTTAAGCTCCCAGTATTTTATTCGCGATCTAATGGACACTACCTCAGAAGCAGCGGCCCAAGTTGTAGCTGTGTTGCAAGCGGGCCATAATGGACGGCAAGTCGCTCGTGAACTTAATATGACCCAATCAGCTGTTTCACGATTATACAGAAAGTTTCAAGAGACTGGTGGCTTCGTCCGGAGACCACAAACCAATAGACACCGGAGCATATCTGACACGGACGACCGCTTCATTGTCTCAACTTCGTTGAGAAATCGTCATCTCACGGGAGTTGATGTGCAACAGGAGCTCAGAAGGGTTCGAGGAGTGGCTGTCAGTCAGTGGACAATTAGAAGACGCCTGAAGAAAGCCAATTTAACTCCTAAACGGCCAACCAGAGGCCCGAAACTGAGCGCAGCTCACCGTGAAGCCCGACTTCAATTTGCTCGTGAACACCTCAATTGGACTATTGAGCAATGGAGCGTCCAGGGGAACGGTTCTCGCAATGCTATTTCGTTGAAACAGTATCATATGGCGGTGGTTCAGTCATGATGTGGGCTGGAATATTATATGAAAGGAAGACCGAGCTTGTTTTCATGCCGTGCGAAAACATTCTCCTCGATTATACAGTACCTTATGCAGGGTACATAGGAGAAAATTTTCTATTGATGCATGATAATGCTCAGTGCCATACAGCAAGTGTTACTCGCCAGTTTCTTCAAGGGGTGCAAATTGAGACGATGAGGTGGCCAGCCCTCAGTCCTGATCTGAATTGCATTGAATATTTATGGGACGAGCTCAAACAGAGTGTGCGAGCCAGAGATACGGCTCCATCAAGCATCGTCGAGTTCAAAACTGCGCTAGAGGAAGAATGGAAGACGATACCTCAAGATTTTATCAAAAAATTGATAAAATCATTGAAAAATCGCATGCAAGCCGTTATAAAAGCTAGGGGAGGCAATACAAAGTATTTAAAATTTTAATTTTCTTTACTTTTATCAAAAATAATTTTTTATTCATTATGTTATTGTTTTCATTTTTCTTCATTTTTTATGCATTTCTGTTAAATCAAATTTTATCAATAAATACTCAACCAATTTTTCTCATTAGGATAGCATTTTTTAGGAGAAAAGATTAGGCTTTCAAACAAAAAAAAAACAAGAAAATCGAATAAGCCATTTTCCTAAAAATCTAACTTTTATACCAATATACGGCTTGAGTCGATTCAGTTGCACGCGAGTGTATATACCCTATGACACTCAGATTATTATGACGAACTTAACGACGTATGAAAAAAAATCGGTTAAATGCGAGGGAATATATACTATGCCAGCGGTCGCGAATTCGAGTCCTGCTGAGGGCATTCATTTGTGTGATGAGCATGATTGTTTATACTCTAGTCATGGGTGTATGAATACATTTATAATATGTATGTATTTAAACTTATATATGTGTAATGTATAAACTATCTATCGGTATCCATAACACAGGCTTCGTAGCTTACCATGGAACTAGATGGTGTAGTGTTAATGTCCCAACATATTTATTTAAAAAAAAGTTACTTTTTTAACCGATTTCCAAAAAGGAGGAGGTTCTCAATTCGTCAGAATCTGTTTTATGTGTGTTCACCTATTTATTACTCGAAGACGCTGAGCCGATTTGGAAAATTCTTTTTTTGTTTCAAAGGGTAAATCAGTTCCCAAGGGCGATCTCAATTAAATTTTAAAGAAATTACTGGTGTGGTTGGTAAAAAATCAACAATAATTCTTAAATAAATGGCTTAATCGAATATTTACTAAAACTTTCTTCTTACAAATTACCTGTTTATTACGTCTATACAAAAAATGGAAAAATAAAAACTAATAAAAACCGACCTTTTTTACTTTACATAACGTTTTTTATAGATTTCTCAGAGATGAGATATTTTCCCGCAGTATTCTATAATATGTTGATCCGGATAACCAGCAATCATCATACCAAATTACATCAAAATTCCTCCAGTGGTTTTTCCGTGATATAATCACAGACAGACAGGCAGAAATTCTAAAAACCATAGATTCGGCCTCTGTATCGATAATAATGTCTATTTCGATAAGATTTTCCAAAAAATACTTATTGTACAGATTCGGCTTAGTTAGAATTTTATTATATGTATAGATAAGTTTTGTATTTTATATTATTGACACCATTTTAAAAGATGGATTTCTTTGATTGATTATGTATATTGTTTTGTCTTAAATTTTATGTTTAAAAAACTTTATGTCATTTAAAATAAATGTAAAAAACTTTACCCATTTTATTGTAAACGTCGATTTATATCATAAAGAGAAAAGATTTCTATTTTAAATCAATAGATACCCATTACCCAGTGCCATAGCAGTTCCATAGAATATCATATTTTATACTAAAGTATAACATTCTCAGATAGGTTGGTAGGAGGAAAGAAATTTTGTTACCTTGGTTTGTTACCTTGCTCTTGAATTCAAGTTTATAGTTTATTACTTTTTATTAGGAAGAAATTCCAATATTCAGGTACTCGTAGACGGACAACATCTTTATTCGTAAATCGTAGCATAGATAAAGTTTTTAGTAAAGGATTTTTTATTTCAAGAAAGGCAACACTAAATGTGTTTTTATTCTATTTGAACACTGACTTTTGTATCATTAAATAGTAGGTTTACACTTTACATTTACACATATTTCATAAACAAAGTGTGTATACAGTTAAAAATGTGAAAGTAGGAAAAATAAAATGGCTATGAAATTAGATGGATCTAATACAAACAGTTGTGTCGGTGTAAAATTTGTGGGTGATTTGGGTGACCTCCAAGTTATTGAAGAAAACGAGTCTGAGGATGATAAAATTTGCCAAAACCAAAAAGTTTTACGGCCTTTTAATAATAAACCTAACATTCCGTCAAATTTAATTCAGAGTACATTACCTGTTTTTGGAAAAGTTACTGTAGCTAACTCTGAAAATGTGCAATTTGGAAATAATACATATTTTAATGGCCCTGTTACTATTAAACAAGTGATTCAAAATAAATCTGGTGTAGACAATTCTGGCTTTGTAAAAAACGAAGATGATGACTCTAATACTCATCACCCACGTAGTGAAAAAGTGCCCAAGAACTGTAAGATTTTAAATTTAATATTTAAATCACTATGAAAAACTCAATAAATGTATTACATTGAATTATTTTTTCATAAATATATAATAGTAACAAAATACTTAACTAAACTTTCATATAAGCAGCAAATATAATAGATAATTATTACCAGGGTACCCTGCCATTGAGTACTAAGTCAATGTCTCTGTTTTAAAATGCATCTCAAGGTTACTAGGAACTATGAAATTTTCAAGCTACTTTATATAGAGTACATGCAAAGGATTTTTTATTTTAGAGCTTATTGCAACAGGACGGTTGGAACACATACAGAGCCTATGTTTGCTTGTCACTATTTTAAAAAGGTGGCTGCAGCTTAGTATATGGGACGTGGACCCTGGAGGAGTGAGTGGTATTTTTGGATAGGGGAGGTGATAGAGAGTCCAAATATATAAAAATTATTTTGAGGAAACAAAAGAGTCAAAAGTTATTGAGACTTAAAGTTACAACATTTCCATACATTATTTAGACATTACTGCCATTTAGACACTTGGAAATATCAAAATGTCACTTTCAATTGTCAAAATGATCTCCAGATTATGTTTTGTCGTGTTTTTAATTATACTTTGCGTGAAATTTGAATTTTCTAGTTTTCTAGTCATATAATAATGGCAAATCTAGGCATATAATATTTTGACTCTCTGTCACTTCCCCTATCCAAAAATATCACCAACTCCGCCAGGGGTCGCGTCCCATATACTAAACTTGTGCCTAAAATGCCATATCTGTTAAGCCGGTTAGAATTTTCATAGAATAGTCTTGAATATGACAGGTTATCGAACAAACAATGAAAGCACATAGTTATCCTTTTTGACTTTGTGGCAGTCAGGTAAAAAGCACTACATCAAAATTTTTTTTACATACTTTTTGATTTTGTTCTATTAAAAAACTGGTAAAAATGTCAAGTTTCAAACTTCAGTTAACCACTCCGCAACAGTAAGTAGTTTAACCTAACACTATAGTGTAACAATAAATAGTAATAACTGGCCAAGTGTAAGTTGGATTTAAATTATAAGTTTCAGTCACTAGACATTTAAATATCCTGTTTTATGTATCTGGAGTCACAACTCAAGTAGTACTTGAATAGTTGTAAACATAGTATTGTTTGCGGATAATTCAAATGTTCAACTTGCACAAATTTTAAATTACTTAGTTGGTCTGCTTCACCATTGCCATACTAATATTATAGATCTTAAAGCATTTCTCTTTCACAATATTATAGCTCAACAGATTTGAGTAGAACTAACAATATACATTTTATGACCACATCTTTTACAGGAACCGGGCAGGGCAATAATATTATTTTATTGCAAAAGTTAAAATCTTAACTTACATTAATAAGTGTATTTTTTAAATGTATTTTTTTATTTAACACTATAGACTCACCCTCGCTTCGCTCAGGTTCTTCCCTAGGTTTATTCCCCATACGGGACCCCATAAGGGATGATTTCCGAATAAAAAGTATCCTATGTCCTTCCCAGGGTCACAAAATATCATCTTACCAAATTTCATCTAAATCGGTTCACTAGATCCAGGGATTACCCCTTACAACGTCACAAATTAACAATTCACAAACTTTACGTCTTTATAATATTAGTATAGATAAACAGAGAAAACATTAGTAAAAGGTGAATTTGTTTGGATCAGATAATACTTATAAAACATAGTGTGTATTAATAAATAAAATTGATTTCCCAGCTGCAAAGAAGGAACAAGTATTATTATGGCACAAAATAACATTTTCTACAGTGTGTATCACTGTGATTGGAAGTATTATTGCAATTGTGCTTGTGTTACAAAACAAAAATGAGCAGCGACAAGACTCTCAAAAAGATTTTGAGAGTTATAAAACTACTAGTAAGTACTTTATTTACTCTACAACATAAAAGTAAGTTACATGAAAAATATAAAGAATAACAACTCATGTATCACACTAACAAATTTATTTTAAATGATGATTGGGTTCTTTTCTGAGTTTTAAATATTCCACTAAATTTTTATATTGGATATCTATAAAGTATATATACTATATAGTACATATATTTATATTAGTAATGTTTTACCTCATAAGCTGTATACAAAATACTCAAATATACAATTTAAATAAAAATATACATATATGTATAATCTTTAAAATAAGAATACTCATGCAAATTTTATTCATATTTTGTACTCTGATTCATTTATTACTTTTTTGTGCACTAACAAACCACTTTCATGCTAAAATTATATTCTATTGTGTTTAATTTAATCTATTATACACACCCGAGGCAAGTTTAATTACCATTAAATATAAATTGTTATTGTTCAAAAGGAAATATTGTTACTGTAAATAACGATTTAAACATAAATTTATTATTTTATTATGACTTTACAATCGAAAATCTTTATAAATTCAATCTATTCAAGTTAGTAATTATGGTTTATATAAATGATTTTATAATTATCCTAATACAATTAATTTCAAAGGCCAGTTAATAAAGTTTCTTTATCATTTAAAGGAATAAGTTATTGAAAGCTAGTGAAATGCCTCAGATTTAATTTTGTATGTAATGAATAAACCATATTATGGTTGTTTATTTCAGCCGATACCACGGTGGTGGGGTTTTATTTTGAGAATTTTCAAGTGATCATCATGTCAGTGATTCTTTTACTTTTAACATTGATAATTTCTTACTCATTACTAACAAAAGAAAGCATTGGTAATGGGATGGTGTGTGTTATAAAGAAGAATAAAACTTACGATCACTGCTTCAATCAGTATTCTGTGCAATACACTGAAGAAGGTATGACACATTTGCAGCAGTACAAAATATATTTTTAAATTTACTATTTAAAATTTCTTAAAAAACCTAACAAACTTTACTTATATTTTAAAAGCAAAATCTTAAAATTTAAATTTGCATTTATGAAAGGATAGTAAAACTTATATAAAACGTTATTCTAACAGTTTTTGTTTATCGCAATATGAGTTGATATTTTAATTTTTGACAATGATTTCAAATCTAATTAGACATATTCCCATCCTTTTAAATAACTAATCTTAAAATCTTTACTGTCCACTGCAGTAGAAGCATTCGCTAAATTTAAAGACCACGGCTAAATTAAAATTATTAATATTGAATGATATTAATCATGAAAAATACGACTGAGTAGAAGCTATTAATAATAACAAGTAATAATTCATAATTTATATTTAAATATGGTTGGATATAAAACACGTACTGTTATACCTATTTACATATGTAGGTACGTAAACGGTTTTTCAGTATCCTTGGTCGTGTTTAGATTTGGTATTTTTTAGGTTCCGGTAGGTCTCTAGGAAAGTTTTGAGGGCATGTAAGTTTTAAAGTTTTTTTCAATAATAATAATTATACACCTTTTTTATATATATAATATATAAACTGGCATTGTCCGCGGCTCCGCCCGCATTCAGATTACCAAAAACCAAATTCTTAGGTTTTACATATTAGTATACTCTTACAATGCAGTTTTTGTATTTTTTCTCAGAAATGAGGCATTTTCCCGCGGTAAAAAGTATCCTATATGTTGACCCGGTAACCAGCCATCATACCATCATATCAAATTTCATCAAAATTCCTCCAATGGTTCTTCTGTGATGCGGTAACAGACAGACAGACAGACAGACAAAAATTATAAAAACTATAGATTCGGCCTATGTATCGATAATAATGTTTATTGCAATAAGATTTTCCAAAAAATATTTAATGTACAGATTCGGCTTAGTTACAATTTTATTATATGTATAGATTTTCATCGTAGATTTTTACAAAAATATGACACGATAATCTCGTCGACTCAACTCGTATATCTTGCCGACCTCAAAAATTTTAATGAATGACAACTGACACGGCCTTCGCTTAGGCGCTTCCCTAGATTGCGAAGTTTTGTCTCGTTTAATAATACGCTCCCAGACAATCAGAGCGAATGCGATGGCGCTTTATATATCTAAAATAATTAAATCTCTTGCGTATTTTTTAGCAATATCAGGATATATTGTAGTATAGAAACTACCACGAAGGAGTGATCGCTTAAGTTTGTAATTCAAATTTGTCATCGACTTTTTTCAAAATTTAGTCTAACTCGCAGAACTACGTATTTGCACACATCAAACAAATTTAAAGAGAAATATTTCAATATAATATTAAAGCTACCTTTATAACAGATAATTGATAATATTACAAAAATATTGTTTTATAGCTGGAAGATTTCACCAATATTGTATAATAACTCAGCAGTTAAAACTTATTGCAAATATATATTTTAGTTTTAGTTCAATTTTATCAAATTTTATTGATTATTCTCTCAACGACCGCGGATACGCCGGCGTTCCAGTTAACAACATTTACTTAGAAATTTACCTAGAGGTGTTAAAATTCTTAGATATTTTTAACTACGAGTATATCTAGCGGAACATGCTATTATTACAATGAAAGAAATTACTTACTTACATTAGTTATCTTAATATCTCTAGTCATTAATGAAGAATAAAACGTGTATCATAATGTAACCTTCACGAAGTACGAACAAGGTAAAGTTACCTTCCTATTTTGTTAATAAGATATAGGTTATTTAATATATAATGAAAATATGTATTCTTCATATACTAGTGCAAAATACCCATGAATTTGGCATGAAACCATGTTGACAAAAACAATCAATGCTCTCCTTGTGCAGTGCGAAATAGATCTAAAATATTAAAAATTAGAAAGTGATTTTTTGTGTAATCCCGAGCAAGTAAAATGTCTTTGCTTTAGTAGAGTTACCTATCATAAGTGGATGATATTGTACAAATAAAAACACTTTATTATTGCCATATTTAATTTTCATTATATCTCTTAGAAGTATAACTTATAAGTTAGTTAAGATATTTTAAAGGAATTAGAATAATCTGTCTATCGCAAAAACAACTTAAATTAAATTTTCTTCGCATTAGCAGAAAGGTAAATTTTTACCGTGGCCGTGGATGGCGAAAGTGTAAAGAAAGTATTCTATAATAAAGATAATTTATAACATTACATTTGTATTAATGTAGTTCCAAAAGTCTTATTAAATGGAATTCCATAATACATATTTTGTTAATAATATTTTGTTTTCTATAACAGTATCTACGTGTATTCGATACCAACCTTTTGTTTCTAAGTAATTTATTTTAAAGATTTAGAGTCTGGAGATTTTTTGCTATTCATAAAAAGGTTATTGATAGATTATAATTGTATTTCAGATAATCCATTACTAATAGCACCAGATCATTTAAGGATAGTGTCTCGAACGGATTGGTTGGCTCAACCAGAGGAGGGTCCTTTGACTAAATTAAGGCAGCCTATACCCTGGGTGATTATCACGCACACGGCCACAGAGACATGTATTACACAGGTAGGTTTAAATGTATAAAGATAATATAATACGTATCAATGTCTGTTAGAACTCTCAATGCCAGTCATTTTCGCCAGAGAATAAAGTTTTTAGGTTTATCATCTAACTTTTCTGCAGCCTTCGCTCAGCTTGGGTAAGTCTCTAGGTACGAATAATTCTCTAATACATAGGTTTGATTTCTAATCATAATTCTTTCTTAGATTTACACGGATATTTAACATTTAAATATAAAACTTTTCGGTTTTTTCCCTTTTTTTTATTTTTGGTTCCCTGTCTGTTTTTTTGTGGTCTGAAAAAATAGTTTTATTTTGTTAAATACTGTAATTGTTTTTAACTGTTATTTCGTTGTTAAAATTTGCGAATGTCGAAAAGTCCCCTTGCGTTATTCCCTTTGTGATTCACATTTAGTATAGTTCAGTCCCGATAAGCGTCTGTAATTTATTTTTAACATTATAAATATGATTACAAATATCTACTTTTCAGTTTACCAACTGTTTGGAATAATAATAGTAATTAAGAGGCTTTATTATTATAATTAGCTTTTTTATCAGAATGACAACTTTACATAAACCATGGAGTTTGATATTTTGTCGAAACGGCCACTATTTGGTACATTACAAAGAATTTTTTTGCAGTATTAAGTAATGTAATTATAATAGATAGAGTTTTTCTGTAATATTATTTTATTACTCAGTACATGCCACTGTATACTTAATATCTCGAATCTTCCTATAAGTGAGCGTGCGACTGAAATGAAAGGATTTTCTTCTTAATTTTTATAGGTTACTAGCGACTCACTCTCGCTTCACTCGTGTTCGTCCCTAGCTTGATTCCCAATACCGCCATAAGGGATGATTTCCGGATAAAAAGTATTCTATATCCTTCCCAGGGTCTCAAACTATCTTCTTACCAAATTTCATCTAAAACGGTCCAGTAGATACAGAGATTACCCCCTACAACTTAACAAACTCACAATATCACAAACTCACAAACTTTACCTCTTTATAATATTAGTATGTATAGACTAGCGACTCACCCTAGCTACGCTCGGGTACGTCTCTACTTACGTTTTAACCTTTAGTATAGATTTCTCAGAGTATCCTATATGTTGACCTGGATAATCAGCCATTATCATACCAAATTTCATCAAAATTCCTCCAGTGGTTTTCCGTGATGCTGTCACAGACTGACATATATAAATTTTATGTATATATAATAAAGATATAGATTTAGATGAAATTTAGTAAGAACATAGTTTGAGACCCTGGGAAGGACATGGGATAGTTTTTATCCCTTAAGGGGATGAAAATGGGGATGACAATTTGTATGGGGAAGCAATGTAGGGACGAACTCGAGCGAAGCGAAGGTGAGTCACTACTAAATAAAAATAAAAGTATTTGTAAACTTTCATGCAATCACTACCAATAACTACAAAGATATAAATCAGTCGGATGAGAAGACGAGAGTTAATGATTATATTATTAATTTTACCATGAATATTTATACAACCATTAAACTTTTTCATATGAGTAATATATTTTAATAATACACCAACATAGCAATAAAAACTAGTAAATACGTATAGATATGTATTTTAATACAGTGTGAGTGTTTTTGTTGATGGCAGGTGTCGTTATATAAATACATCTAAAACCAGTTGTCCTAAAATCTAATATCACTAACCTGATTTAACAAATAAAATTTGAATGTAGTAGTGTTCTTACTTTTTTTCCATTAGCGCTTGAATTTGAGGAAGAAAACATTTAACTTCATCACGTTTAATAGGAAATTAAGCTGCATTTTGAATTAACCTACTATCTGCTTTATAATGTAATAAAAATATAAATTAAAATTTGCCCAGGGTTGGGCCATTGGTTTCTATTGTTTCTCACATTTCAATGTACTCCCTTGACCTTAATATAATTTTATTGGGTGGCAAGTATGTGGTTTTAAGAAATGCCTCGTAAAATAATAGCACCACTATATACATACAAATATATTATGTATGTGCAAAAGTTTGTATGTGTGTGTATGTTTGCTTCATTTCCACGCTTAAACGGCTGGATGGATGTGAATGAATTTAAGTAAGTACCCAGATAGACGACGATCTAGAATAACACATGGGACACTGTTAGGCAGTCGCTAGTACCGTATAAATGTTTATGACATTTTAATGAAAAAAATAATTATTGAATTATTTGTGTTACCTTAACAATACAAATATTATAAATATAAAATGATTCTTAACTAGCAGAACCTGCGGCTTCGCTTGTGTTCAAAGTACAAGAAAAAAAATAAACTCTTTCCCTTACCTTTACAATAATGTATGGAAGTCTGCCTGATTTGTTGACATTTATAATTACTGCTCCGCTCCCTTGGGTAGTAGCATGATGATATAAAGCCTATTATATAGCCTTCCTCAATAAACGGGCTATCTAATGCAAAAAGATTTTTTCAAGTCGGATTAGTAGTTTAAGATTAGCGCTTTCAAACAAACAAACTCTGCCTCTTTATAATATTAGTATAGATATATCTCAGCCATTACAGCATATTTATTTTAATATTTCAGAGCAAATGTGTGTTAAGCGTGCGCTTGATCCAGTCATTCCACATAGAGTCGCGGGGTTGGTACGACATCGGCTACAACTTCCTTGTTGGCGGCGACGGCTCAGTATACTACGGCAGGGGATGGGATTACGAGGGTGCTCACACGAAAGGATACAACAAGTATAGTGTAGGCATAGCTTTTATAGGCACCTTCAACAGTGAAGGACCCCCCAAGCATCAGGTGGAAGCTTGTGAAAAAATTATCGCCCAAGGCGTCCGATTAGGCAAATTAACGAACGACTACAAACTATTCGCTCATAGACAACTCATGTCCACTCTCAGTCCCGGAGACAAAGTGTACGACATCATAAAAACTTGGCCCCATTTCGTTAAAAATGTAACGGATTTGGAAACGTTAATTCCTAATTATTAAATTATTACGCGTATTGTTCTCTGTGCCTGATTATTTTAAGTGTTCATTGTATTATATAGTTAGTTTTTGTATTTTATAATAGGATTTTATCTTTTTGTTTATCACTTTGTGATATTGACTCTTGATAACTAGTGATTTAATCGGTATATTTATAGACTTTATTATTTTGACGAGTTTGTAATTACACAAAGCTTTTCTAGAGATTTTTATATTATATCTTTCGCAAGTTAATTTACCATTTTGTTGTAGTGCAGTACTATATACTATAACTATATATATACTTAAACTATATACTATATATTATATACTTAAACCGTACCATTAAAAATGCATTACTAATTTATGCGGACATTTTCAGACATTAGAGACGGAATTGCCTAAAGCCATTATTAGAAGATATTATATTTTAAATTGTTTAAGAATTATAATAATTTTTATTGCATAATTTGCTCAAAGTTCAATATATACGATTTATTAGAATTATTTTTACCTAAGTAACTTTTCTTCAAAAACTAAGTACATAACATAGAATCAACATATTTGAATATAAATAAATAATATGTAGGGTCACATAGCACCACATAGTTCCATGGTGACCTACGGGGCTTGTGTTTGGATACCAGATAGTTGATACACTACACATATATAAATTTAAATACATACATATTATAAATATAAACACCCATGACTGGAGTACAAACATTCGTGCTCATCACACAAATGAATGCTCCCAGCGGGACTCGAATCCGTGACCGCTGGCACAGCAAGTAGGGTTACTACGAGTACATACTGAGCCAAACATGTCATAGATTTTTTTAATTTAGCGTTGAATAATATATTTTGTGATTGAATGTAAAGTGAATATAAGTATAAGTTAATAAGACAATATATTTTCGAATACTTTTATATAGTAAACTAGCATTGCCCGCGGCTCCGCCCGCGTTTAGATGACCAAAAATCAAATTCTTAGGTTTTACATATTAGTATAGTACTCTTATATTGTGGTTTTTGTATTTTTTATCAGAAATAAGATATTTTCCCGCGGTAAAAAGTATCCTATATGTTGACCCGGATAACCAGTTATCATCATACCAAATTTCATCAAAATCTATTCAGTGGTTTTCCCGTGATGCGGTAACAGACAGACAGACAAAAATTCTAAAAACTATAAATTCGGCCTCTGTATCGATAATAAAGTATATTTCAATAAGATTTTCCAAAAAATATTTAATGTACAGATTCGGCTTAGTTACAATTTTAGTATATGTATAGGTTATAATTATTATAAGATATGCTTTGAGAAGTAATTCTGAAAAAGTTCTTAAACATTTCTTTTGCTCTAACAAGTATCGATATTGGTTATTTATATCTTTAAAATTTTATGCATGTTCTTCTAGAAATCCCGATGTTTTTACATTTAGTGGCGAATTTATTTCCATAGGTAATTTGATAGAACTTTTACGAATGAAAGTGTGGGAAGACATGTAGGTATTATGTTTTTTAAATAATTGTCATTCATCTAATAGTGAAATTAGGTTAATTATATATTCAGTTCAAGTTTGAATATGATTTTTAAATAATACTAGCGACTTTCCCCCGCTTTGCTCGGGTGCGTCCCTAGGCACGTTTTATTTTTTTTCAGCAAAATCTTAATTATTTTTCTAAAATAAAAGTAGCCAAGTTATTCTTTATATCATCAGCTATCTATATTCCTGTGAAAGTCCCGTCAAAATCAGTCCTGCTGTTTCGGAGATTAGGTGAAACAAACAAACAGGCAAACATTTTTTTTAATTGTGTTTTTCTTATAAGTAGGTACCCTATATTATAATTTCATATGGATTTAGTGAAATTCTGTTATTTTGACATTATAAAAAGACACTACAATTTTATTTATCAGTATAGATTTGAAATTTTTAAGTTAAAAATGTTAATATACATTTTTTGTTAATAACGTCACATTATATATTTCAACTTGTTTATTTTTTTCTAAAGAAAGTCTTTTTAGGCAATTCGTCGGCAATTTGATACTTGACATTACGCTTGTTGCTTTAAACACGTGCCTAATATTGCATGTGTTTAATTTTAAAGTTCAGTAGGTCGGATCGATTTAAAAACAGCGGGTGAATCATTGTCGTTTTAAATAAATAAGTGAACTTTTTAAAATGTATTGCTATGTATTTAATTTATATTCATTGAAAGTTTGTTTCATTGTCTTCTAAGAGACCAGCTCCTTATCTTCTTTGTCGGAAGTCGGTTAAAATAGTAGTATATATTTAATCCAGTCGAAAAATGACATTGATTCATTGCTATAAACAAACAAATCGACAAACCGGCAAAACATTTTTGCATTTATAATATTGTTAGTAAGGAACTAAGGGTTAAATAACATAATAATTGTAAGTTTCTGTATAGGACAATGGCATTTAAATATCCTTTTTATTCACAAACGTAATACTTTTACTGTTCCAATCAACCACTTGTAATTAAGTCTTTTATAGAACAAGAAAGTACTAAGTGCTTTACTCATGTTTTATTAAAAATACACTTATAATAGATTATTACTATCTTATATTGTTTTAAAACGGAATCACCGAGCTTTTTAGTATTAAGTTATCAAAGTGAAATGACATTTAAATTCTACTTCATATGTGGTATTATATATTTGTGGTAATTTTTGAAACGGAAATATTCTCAGAGTTTCAATTTATACCCCGCATTTGTTGTTGTGTCTAACGATTTAGTTATAATAATAATGTCCTCTTGACCGATATTGGGTATTATAGTGTACGCAAAAATACATCGTGCTTTCTCTGTATCCCTTTTGCAAGCGCAGGGCCGCGATGGCTTTACGTGCTTTCCAAGACACGAGGTATAACACTTTTTTTTTAACTTTGGGAAACGCATTTACGCACGAGGTGTGGGACTCACCGGCAAAGCCAGTTCTACTCACTAAAATCCAACAAAACCTTCTCCCGTCTTAATGGGGCGTCGCAGGATCGCTTACGCATTCAACTACGACGCCCCGACGGCAGGTGTGCCGAGGCAGACCACAACGACCATGGGGTTGCTCCAAGGTCCACTCTGCTATCAGAGAAGTACCAGAAGCAACCCGCATGATACTCCGCCCACTAAAGAGGGCCACCTCCTACCGCCCACCGAAGTTGCGTTTCTTGGTTTCGCTCCGGTTCCGGTTTCCGGCTGGATTGCCGGGCACTACTGAGCCCCCCCACCACGACAAGGTAAACGCACGTTTGGACCAGGGAACACACTGCCAAATTGCCAACTAGATTTGGGAATTTGACGATGTGACATTACAGAGAATTCTTGACGAAAAAACCCAATAACTGTAATTGACCAGAACTAGGAATCGAACTCAGGATCTTTGGATCAGCAGCCGTACATTTGCCACTTGACCTTTGTGGTAGTTATGTTGTACTACACGTTAATTTAAATATCAGTGCTAATGTTTTATTTGAACTTAATGTCATCGGTCAACGTATGACCTTATATTAATTATCCTTTCTGCTAATAGTGAAGTTTAAATTTAAAATGGCCGGTTTAGTAAGTTGTTCGGATTTCGGTTTCGATTTACAATAATGTACGGTTTATTTATTTTTTCACCCAGTTGACCCGATGTCCTGACTAAATTTCTTTTTTTTTTGTAATATTTGTTTCTTTTTTAAATTTGTATAAAAAAAATCTCTCAGTTTTTACCGAATTTCGCGATTTTTCGGACGACTTTCCTCCAACTCCAATTCCTCACCTTAAACCTTATGGTCCTAACGTTTTAAAGAAAATCTGTCCTGACGTTCTAAATTGACGCGTTACATTTCATATTTATTTACAATATGTACAATATGGATCTTTAGATACAAGATCAAAGTTGTTTAGGCAAGTCTATAGTTAGTCACCCGTAGCAATTGTTATATTATGAGCATAAACATTAATTGACACTAGAGGAAAGGTTAACTTACATAACAAAGTTAATTGAGTTTGAACCAATCAGTGAGTGTGGGGTTGAGTTTAAACGAATACAGTATTGCATGCTATAAACTATCATTGCAGTTCGAACTGCTGCGCACCGGTGATTGACGATCGGTCGTGTGGAAATCGAACAGTATTAATTGCATTGCATGTGTAATAGTTAAAATTATGTAAGAAAATGAGAAGATTCTACTGTCAAGTAAGAAGCGTTGTTTTACGTATTTTTGTACATTTTTTAATATATATACTATTTAGTATATTTTATAAAGTAGTTAGGTGTATTTAGCCTTTTTTTGCATACTTTAGTCGTGCTTATTATTATTTTTTTTATATTATGTAACAAATATATGATATTTACAGTGGTCCATACAAAACGTCTTACCTTAAAATGTATTTTAACTATAATTTTACAAACAATTATTTTTAAATATATAAATGTTCTTTTGGAAATATATATAATAAAGCTTTATGCATTAATATGTATATAAAAAGTGTATATCAATGTTTTTTTTTGTGTCTTTTTTTGGAACGGCTTACCTCTGCTAAAATTTAGCCTTCGCCACTGAATATTTAGGTGATTTTATAAAAATAAAACTTGTAGTTCTGCGAACAGTAGACTTCGCGAGCACAAATTTTTGCAACAATTAATATACTACTAAAGTTATCTATGTGAGCAATTTACTGCATTTTGTGAAGCGATTCTGCTCATAACGCTGAAGATACTCATCAGATCTTCACCAAATTTTTATGTGATCTAAAGTTACTATCGTTTAAATAAAAGAAGATCCATGGAAATCGGATCTCATAAGGTGGAGATATCCTTTTTGTCCCTTTTTGGAGGAAATACCCCTCCAATCAAAAAATCCGTATGCCAAGTTTTGTCCACATCGATTGTAAAATACGACTTGTATAGGAGTACCATCAAACTGACAGAAGAAAGAAAAGTTTACCAGACTTGGAGCAGAGACGCTTCGCTCGCTCGGTCAATTACATGTTTGTTTGTTTGTTTGTTTGTTTGTTTGTTTGTTTGTTTGTTTGTTTGTTTGTTTGTTTGTTTGTTTGTTTGTTTGTATGTTGTTCTTTAAGCATGAAATTTACAATACGAACTATTGTAAAAACATTTGTAAAAACTGATGAACCTTGTTGTTGTTCTACGAATGACAAATCGAAGGCAATTGTCGTAATCTTTTTCATATTTTTTTGTTTTTTATATACTATTGGGCCCCTAATAAAACTTCGAGATATTCCTTGCTTATATTCTTATATTCAGTACTTTTATAAACGTCAGTGAGTTACATAATTTATAATCATAATTTTTCAGTATTACAAACAATTCGTGCCTAGTCACTAGATGGTGTACCGACATCTCTGTGCAAAAGCGCGGGAAAACAAATGAATATCCGCGCCCTTTTTTTTTTAAAAACACATTCCTATCGGCCAAGGTCACATAAGTAAATGCCTTATTCATTAATCATTACAAATTAATCAAATATATTATTTTCTATTAAAACACTCAATATATAAAAATGCAACCATATAATACCTCCTTTTTTTTTGGATTCCGTTTTTCATTCATATGTCAAAGGTTCATAACTAAAGTAAGGTTAAGAGACCGTAATCTATACATGATTTTTGTTGTTCTTATACTTACAATTAGTCTAGATTATATTATTATATAATATATTCGATTAGTATTTAATGTAATGTATATATTTTTTCATCATGATGTATATTTCTGATTATTTTCGTTTTTAAGGTGTTCTAAGTGGTGTTTAAATAATATCGAATATTAGTGACTCATTTTATTGTTACTTAATTTATATTTTAAAGTATATTTTACATACTTTGTAAGTCTATAATAAAGTACTGTATTATTTAAAGTTAATGTTAACGCACTTATATTTTGAACAGTGTTGACTAGTCTAATATTACGAAAATACACTCCCATATGTGTAATTTCAATGGTTTTGGATTTTTTTTGTTTAACTATGTATGATATTACAATTAAGTACGATGTAAAAATAAAACTGTAAGTTTTAATAGGAATTTAGGTGCTAATGAATGTACATGATATAAAAGATTTTTTATTGTGCCTTATATACCTGAATGTTTATTGCTCAAACTATATTTTTAATTAAAAAAAAATAACAATTTTATGTATCATAAAAAGTAAAACATTTTAAATTCTAATATAAAGGCTTCTAAATTATGATAATAAACGCGTACAAATTGTTAGTTATTATCTTTTATGACGTAATTTGACTCGACCCCAATTTTTTATATGTTGCAGCTTTCTATCGACCCATCTGTGCTTTATTTGCACGATATTTAGTAACTGTTAATTTAAAATATTTAATTGACATTTAAGTCATTATAGCTATTTTACTATAAGAAAATTATAAATAGTTGACCTACTTGAAAAAGTGCCTTTATAATTCTCCATGTACCGACCTATAGGTGTTAAAATTTCAGCAAGATTGATTGAAGCTGTAATATGTCAAGGGGTAATTAATACACAAACTCGTTATCGCATTTATAATAACAGTAAGGAAGTGAGGACGGTCTATGTACATATGTATGTTTCGTATATAAAGCAAGATTGTAAATATTGTGTTCATTTACGCATTTTTTTTATATGTATCCATTATCTACACACTTAATTGTTGTAAATAGTATAAATAAAATGAATAAACATATGCCACATCATAGTACATGTTTCTTTTTATAAGTTTGCTTACGCACATTTTTTTAAAATAGAGATTTTTTTAATTAATTGTAAATTTTATGTATGTAGGTATGTTTTTAAGAGGTTTTGATATTTTAATGGTCTTAAAAATTAGTTCGAAAAAGTAACTCAAAACCAGAAGTGTTATTTATATTGCGACTCGCCATCGCTTCGCTCAGGTTGGTCCCTAGGTACGTTTTAACGGTTAGGGTGGAATAGATATAACTTGTTTTCTCGTATGAACGAAATAATCTCCTATGGTAAAAAGTAGCCTATGTCACTCTCCAGCCCTCTAACTATCTTCACACAAAAGAACACGACAATCTGGCACTTTATTTCGACGTGAAAAAGGACAAATAGACGGAGTGCTTCATGAAGAGGGTTTAGGTGTATAATTCGTTCAAGTTATGTGTAAATTGGCTGAGATATGATAATGATTGTTGAAGATGTCGGAAAAAAACCATGCCGATTGGGAGCTTTACTGGCGTGAGTAGCGTAAACTAATAACGTTATATGAAAATAATTTATTACAGAATTATTAAAAACATCTTCCTACCAAGGAACGCACCTGAACGAAGCGATGGTAAGTCATTAGTATAGTAATAAGTATGTACAAATAAAATAGTTCTTCTTTAAAGCATTTTATTCCCTACGTTTCCATTTTAGTATTCTGTCTTCATTTTTTTCGAAATGTTTTAATATTTTGGTGCTCGCGTAAAATTACTTGTATCCAGCCCTTCTTAACGTCCCACTGGGCACGGGCCTCCCTTCAATACGAGGGGGATCAGGCCATAGTCCACCACGATGACCAAGTGCGGGTTGGCGAACTTCATATGTCTTTCGAAAACTTGCTAGCTTCTCTCAGACATGCAGGTTTCTTCACGATGTTTTCCTTCACCGTTAAGAAAAATGGTAATCATGTTGGAAATGATTCGCACATGAAAATATCAGAGGTGCGAGATCCGGGATTTGAATCCGCTTCACTCGGTTTCCCAAGCGAGCGCTTTGCCACTGGGCTATCACTGCCTCAAAAATTACTTACCAACCATTAAACCTACTTACTACCTCGTAGTATAAGCCATCTATACTACGAGACTATATAGTCTCATTAGCCGTAATATTGTCATTTCGCTTACGTTAAACGTGTTAGTTATTGGAAAATGCACCATTAGTAATAACTTTTGGCCTTAATTTACGGGATTAAACCGGTTATTTAACCTTCATAGCCAACCTTTTTGCTATAATTCATCTATTCACAGTGACCCCATAGAACTGCTTGGAAATAGTAGTGCCTTTTAACTTGACAGCAAATAATAGAAAATATTCCTTCGGTATCTATACATATTTAAATATATGTACGTAAATACAGTAAGTAATTGTAATTTTTATAGGTGCTTATGATATTCTATTTGGTACATTAATAATGTGAACCGTGAATGTTAAATGCGGCGTTTCCCAGAGTTTAACCATGTCTGTTGAATTATTAATTTTAATAGCTTATCGTTTTTTCAAATTTTAATTCCATCGTTTCATGTAGAGTATTGTAAGTTATCAGAAATGGTAAATATTGATAAGAATATTTAATATTATTATTATTTACAGAATCACTTTTTTAAGTAATTTAAAGTGATTTTTATGTGTACACTATAAACAAAACAATTGTTTGTGTTGATAGTAAATTATTTTGTTTGAAAACGTAATGGTTTTAAATTTATTTTCATATGACATCTTATTCTATGGATTTATATCGATTTATTTACAATTCATATAAGAACTTAATATATATTTATATGGATTTTATTATTAAAAAATCGGTTTTAAACTCATAGATCTTGCACTATATACTGTGTATACACTATACTGTGTATACACTATAGGTACATTTCAATAATTCAACGGAAGTTTTCATGACCTCTCCTATTTTATACGTAGTTATCGTATCTACTCGATCAAAGCCTTATAATTACCGACATATGTCCGTATGACATATTACACCTATTTTTCATTCTGGACGGACATTCACGATTGGATGCCCATTTGGTACGTTAAGGGTACGTTGAGATATACAGAAATCCAATGGTTCATTACAGGCATCAAAAGAAGATCGCAATGAAGTATAAAAACAATAGATCGGAGAAACAAGTGAGAATCTCTAGATGGAACTACTGTACCACAAAATTCTTACAGTTTTGCAAAAGAACTGATCTGCATGGTTTCAAATATATTGCTATGGAGAAACTTAGTGTTACTGAAAGGTTTGTATTTATTGGTTAAAAATAGTTGGAACTTTGATAATATATTCGCAATTTTAATTTTAAAATTTTATAGGTATAACTTGTATCACGAGTTCATGCAATCAATTAAATAATGTAAACGCATCGAGTCAATTGAAACCAATCAAAGCAATTACGACAGCAAATCATGCACTGAATATTTCATAAAGCAAACCGCTGAAAATATTTTATGATGGACTTGTTTATTTTTAATTAACCATGATATTCGGGAGTTATTTTAAAACTAGCAGAAACCGCGGCTTCGCCCGCGTTCAATCTACAAAAAAAAACCTCTTGGGTTTTATGTTAAATGCTTTATAATATGGCAATAATGTAGGAAAATCTGCCCGATTGGTTGACATTTATGATTGCTGTTCCGCTTCCTTGGGTAGTAGCATGATGATATATAGTCTATAACCTTCCTTAATAACCGGACTATCTAATGCAAAAATAATTTTTCAAATCGGATTAGTGGTTTCTGAGATTAGTGCGTTCAAACAAACAAACTTTGCCTCTCTATAATATTAGTATAGACGATACTTAACAAAGTACTTGAAGTTTTTATATGAATATTATCCTTTTTCATTAGAAGTGTATGGGCTGTGGCTGTGGTGATCAGCGTGGTATGTGCCACTTTCTTCGTCATCATCGCGTACAAATGGTATGCAAGAAACCCCATAGTCACTGTAAGTACGTTTAATGTTATGTATATATTAATATTTTTAGGGCCTTAATCTTAATTGTACTAGAATAATGATTTTGATCAATTCAAATATTTTCACCGTACGGGCATAGAACTTGAGTGTTACGGCGTAGTGGACATAGCCACGAAAATAATAAACTCCACAACGCCCCCTTCCTGTGCTTTGTAATAAATTTTATTTATAAACAATATATAGTTATATGTTTAAGTTTCGATACAATAAGTATACTCATACTATATAGGGTTACTCAACCGTTTTGGACTATTTATAGCACGATTAAGTTGGTACTTATGTATGGAATACGCTGTATGAAATAGATAGACTATATATTATACATACATAGGTACAAAATAAACAGTTCTGAACTTTTCAATCTTCCAGATGTTGTTTTAGGGTTTCCCTATTTTTGTATACTTAAACCACCTCTGAAACACCTCCAACAAAAAAAAAGAATTATTCAAATCGGTCAGCTGTTTTTGAATTTTAGCGAGACTATAAATCCTGATGTCCTAATAAAGTCCTGTTCTTAACTGCCCAAATTCATTGAACACAAGACAGTTAATACGATATCATTTTACGGGAGTAAAAACAGTTTCCGCGAGATAGGAAAACCTTCAGATTAATTTACTGGACATATAATTGGGTAGGTATGTTCATTTTTAAACTCGACTAACATCTGCCTTATTTTTGAGAAAAATAATGGTTCCCGGAGTATAGAGAACATCACTATTAAAATTTATATAAACTATTTGTTCATAAAGTTAACAATTTCAAATATTTTGCGTTTGTATTCAATTGTTTCGTTAATATCACTTTTTATCTATTATTTTTATTTTAATAGGCTGAAAACACACAGGTGCTTGAAGTAATAGGTTTTTTTTTATAAATATCTTTCCATTTGAAAATTTACTTAACAAAGAATTGGTCATGTACATGACTTGCCGGATTATGCACAGATTAATATTATATCTAACAATCTTATCAAACTTTAAATGAATATTAATAATCTTATTTTAAAACAGTTGAACGTATTAATGTTATCGTCATATTTTGATAAACTGAAGGAATTCAGTAGTAATGGCAGATTAGCGCAAAGTTGCGCAAAAATCTATACATATAATAAAATTGTAACTAAGCCGAATCTGTACATTAAATATTTTTTGGAAAATCTTATTGAAATATACATTATTATCGATACAGAGGCCGAATCTATAGTTTTTAGAATTTTTGTCCGTCTGTCTGTCTGTCTGTTATCGCATCACAGAAAAACCACTGGAGGGATTTTTATGAAATTTGGTATGGTGATAGCTCCTTTTTTTTTTTTTTTTAACTTTGGGAAATGCATTTACCCACGACGTGTGGGACTCACCGGCGTAATACAGCCAGTACTACCCACTAAAACCCAACCAAACCTTCCCCCGTCTTAATGGGGCGTCGCAGGATCGCTTACGCATTCAACTACGACGCCCCGACGGCAGGTCTGCCGAAGCAGACCACCACAACCAATGGTGATAGCTCCGGGTCAACATATAGGATACTTTTTCTGCGGGAAAATATCTCATTTCTGAGAAAAAATACAAAAACTGCATTGTAAGAGTATACTAATATGTAAAACCTAAGAAATAGGTTTTTGGTCATCTGAACGCGGGCGGAGCCGCGGGCAATGCTAGTCTTTAAATATTTACAATAAAATTTTTTATTTGCCTACTACATGTAATGCCAATTACGGCATACATATTTTTGTATTTAATAAGTAAAGATACGTATAAGTCGTATGTATATGTATACCAAAAGGATAAATAGAATTTTTACGTGGTAAAATAATTTATTAATAACTGGACGTCATTCCGAGCTTTTTATTAGCTTATACAAAATAAACTATAATAAATATAAATGAGCTATGTTCTTATCGCGTGTAATAATCTTAATTTTTAATGCATCGGGTACATACTCGTATTAATACAATTACAATATAAAATTTAAGAAATAAACCATCGAACTTAAAGTTAACTTTATGTAATTTTGAAGTCTTTTAAATTACGAGTATTTTTCGCTTTAAATTCACTATCCCGAGAAATAAATGATTCCCATAGGATAACTGATTATATATACATAAAATATATACATTCAAATTGAACTGTTTATGGAACATTTAGAAATATTTAAATCATAGAATTAAATTAAATATGTAGAGACATTAACACACAACACCATCTACATAGTTCCATGGTAAGCCAATAGACTTGCGTTATGGATACTAGATAGTTGATACACTACACACACATATATATATATATATATATAACTTTAAATACATACATATTATAAAATATATAAACATCCATGACTAGAGTATAAACATTCATGTTCATCGCAGAAATGAATGCGCCCAGCGGGACTCAAACCCGCGACCGCTGGCACAGCGCGAATTTTTAAATTTACGTTCCTTCAATCCAATTATTCGATTGTTATAACAATAAACCGAAGTGATGGAAATAGTATATGTGAACAATAAATACACAAGTATGATATTTTATTTCAATGATTTATATATTAGTTTATATTTTCCAGGTTGTTGAGAGTACTCAGGGTGCTATTTGGGACATTCCGTTCCCGGCCGTAACAATCTGTGATCTAAATGTAATATCCAAGAGAGCTGCATTGGCTTTCTCAACAAACTTGTTAGTATTAAAGCCATAATATTATTACTTCAATAGAAATTACTGTTACCTAAGTAACTATTAAATATTATTAGTCACTTACAAGGGAAGGTGCATGCAAGTAAAAGATTTGTTTGAAACCAGAATATATTTTTAGTATTCCAGTTTTCCGTGGTATTATAGACTAAGTATTAATGGCGGTTTTTAAGGTTGTTCTCGGCTTAGAAAACTGTTATTTTGACATTACAAACAGACACTTCAATTTTTTTTTATCTGTATAGATGAATGATGTCTGTATAGATGGATGGGTATAGTGGTAGAGAGCATGGACGCTATGGAGGGATTTTGACTGGTGAATATGTATGTGTGTGTGTGTGTGTGCTGAGATGATGCCACGTAACGCTGGACAAGAAAAAGAGAGAGAAAGTTAAAATAAAATGACATTGTAATCGTGCTGAGTAAGTATCAGAGGAACGTAAACACTACTATATTAATGTTATATCGAATATATAACCAATTTCTTTTTTACTGTCTTAAACACTTTCGTTTTAATTTATGAGAGAATATTACCATATTCACACATAAATTACTATATTTTATTTGTTATTTTCATGCACTTTTCTTGTGCGGAAATTAAGAGTACATAGTGACGAGTGACTGCGATGCGCTATCCAATACCTTATAAATGTCTTAACTAGACCGTACCATCATAATATTGTGCAAAAAGATTTATCTTGCACGGGAGCCGAACTTGTAACTTCCGATAAAGTAGTCAATTCTAGCCAATATGCCTAATTCGCGACAACTTCTTTTTTTCATTAAACAATATATTCACAGATCACTTCCAGAAAACGTCACGTCAGAATTCATATTTAGAACCCTTAAAATCGCACCTCTATTACATTCCACGACCATCGCAGATCCGGATGAAAAGAGGGACCTACACAAATTACAAGACATTTTAGACCTTAACAATATATCCTTAGATTCCTTATTCCAACAGGTAAGCTCATGCTATTAACAACTGTTACTGTTGTTAGCGTTATGAATTTACCGGAAAACGAATTTCAGTACTAAGCTCGTAACAAGTTGCACTTGACTTTGTAGTTCGATCTCATCATATAATAAATTATTGGTGTTAGGATTATATTATTGATATACAAATATGGGTAATAGATTTGGCTTCAATTCAATTTAATTCTCTTGTTAATGGTTTCAAAACGTGCTAGTTGAGCACATAATACTTCGTCAATGTCATGTCGAATAGAGAAGACACGAAGATTGGTCATTAAAATAAGATTAACAAAATATTTTTAGGCAATTATAATGTATAAAAAAGGGAGCAAAATGAAAGATTATAGGAATAATCCTTAGATTACAACAAAATATAGAACAGTTAATATATACAGTACCTGGGCGACCGAGCTTCGCTTGGAGTTTTTGGCCAGAAGTACAATTTTCTTTTTTAAAAAACAATTAAAAACTTGAATAAATACAAAAAAAAACAAAAGTAAAAACTTTGTATCAGACCGGGTTTCGAACCTGGATATCTGTGATTATCACTCTTGTGTCATGACCTCGATACTTTACGACCATATTTTACGCGCGAAAGAAAACTGCATGAACTCGAAAAGATGCGTTTTCCAGACATAAGACTAATCAAGATCGATTTTTCGCCCCCGAAAATCCCCACATACCAAATTTTAGAAAAATTGTTAGAGCCGTTTCCGAGATCGCCGGTATAAATAAATATACAAGAATTGCTCGTTTAAATATATTAAATAAAAACCTTAATTAGAGGTGAGTGGTTATTAAACACAAGTTATTTTCCAAAAAAGTGTTAGTCTATAATCGAATTCCATTACACTTAATATAATTACTTAAAAAATTACACGGGGATAGATTTGGCTTATTCTTCGTAATCATTGTTCTGCATTACAATGCATTTGCAGTTTCATCTGATACATATTTGTTCAAATAACTTGTTGTTTGAACTTTGAATTGTTGTTAAACTTTGCTTTAGCATCGCATAACATTCCATGTAAATTAAATACCTCTATTTACGCTTAAAAGCTATTATATTTTACTTTCATCCTCAAAAGAAGATCATACAAGTTTTTTAAATGTACCGTTTCTTTGTTCAAACAAATCCACGCGCAGATAAAAACGTGAATCTAAAAGAAAAACTAAAAAATGAATGGTTTTAGTTATCACCAGCAGCATCATGCGGGGACTTAATTGAACGCTGCATGTGGAAGAATACGATATACCGCTGTGAACAAATTTTTCAACATGTTTATGCTGGATTAAATCTATGCTGCACCTTTAATTATTACGCTGTAGACGATAATGCAAATGAGTTAGTACCTCGTTATTATATTCATAATCTCTGAAGAAGTAACTTTTCTCATTTAAAATAATTTTGTAATCTAATTAATTTTAACTATATATATATATATATATATATATAAATTATGAAGATGATGTGTTTAATTGTTTGTTTTCTTAAACGTGATAGATAACCTTTGGAGCTACCTTTTAATCTTTATATCTTTATATATATAATTCTTCTGTGAGTGTGTATGTCACTGAACTTCTCTCAAACGACTGGACCGATTTTGATGAAATTTTTTGTGTGTTCAAGGGGATCTGGGAATGGTTTAGATTCACAATTTGAATAATAATTTTCATCAAAAAAATTATTAAAAAGTTTGAAATTTTCAAATTAAAGACGTGTAGACAGGACAACGTCTGTCGGGTCCGCTAGTATCTTTTGATGAAATTTTTTGTGTGTGTTCAAGGGGATCTGGGAATGGTTTAGATTCACAATTTGAATAATAATTTTCATCAAAAAAATTATTAAAAAAAGTTTGAAATTTTCAAATTAAAGACGTGTAGACAGGACAACGTCTGTCGGGTCCGCTAGTATACATATATAATAACAAATAGCGTCCGGAATAAATAGGCAATAAGCCTATTATACGCTTTTAGCCTACCTCGGACTCTACCTTTTATTTACTTACGAACTTTCGGAATGCATCAGCCATCCATAAATAAACTGCGCAGGAAAAAGCGGCTTTTAAATAATTGATGCATACAATAAATGACTTATCCCTTTCAGGCTGGGTTCACACGGCATTGTCCTGCACGTTTTTTCAGTATTCGACTTTAAACGTGCAATTAGCCGGGTGTTCATACGGGTAGATTTTCATTCGTGTAAAAATGAATATCCGCAGTTTTCACACGTTGTCATAGTGTCAGTAATTGATTCACGCTTGGTTGTTTTTTCATATTGGTATCGAAGGCGCCAACGGTTGCTATTCGATTTAAAACATATGCTATCGTGCCGTGTGAAAGAGACAGAGCGCCACTGCAAACCGAATACGTTAAAGTTCATTCAATTTACTTGACAAGTCCGGTGAGTATCCGGTTAAACGTCTAAACGGTGTACGATTTTTTGCAGTACAAAAGACGTGTGAACGGTTCTATATAAAATGTATGTGCATATGTAAAAAACGTGCAGTACAATGCTGTGTGAACCCAGTCTTATTTTGACTATTCGTCTATCTTGTTTGTTAGTATCCTATTATCCTTGAAACAGCTTACCTACAGCTAAAAGGAAATTCTGGTAACAGTGCTATTTTTAAGTCGATATATTCTTTCGTATATTATAATGCATAGCGAAATAGGTGAGTGCATCAGTAAAAAATAATAATAATATAACAACAAAACATCTGACTGCATAAAAGCTTACTAAAAAGATGAAAACAAGTTAAAGAATGCATATAGTATTTTGCAGTCGAAGACATATACATATGTATATCTCGCGGCAAGAATAAAACGTCTTTGCCGCAGTCGGGTAATAAGGATCGAAGAACCAACTTAAAATTAGTAAATAATATGGCTGTTTCATTTTAGTCGATGGACAAAGCAATTCATTCTTTAACTCTTAGTAGTGCCAAAAAAATGGTCTCATGTAAAGCGACAGTCATGTTTATTGGTTGCGAACTTCGATCAAAACAGTACACAGACACAAACAGTTTTAAGAAAACTATTGCATGAACATAATCCCATGCAAAAGTTTTCTTAAAACTGTCACCAATTGTGTTTAGGTCATTATCCTAGTTGAAACAAATATACAACAATATAAATTGAATCTTAAATGCAATCCATAAAGTTGTTTTTACAAAAAAGCGTGCTTAAATATTCAAATGAGCGCTCATTCCGTGAGGACATTTTTTGTTGCTCATTGTGTATCTAGTACTTTTTTGATAGATGGTTGCGACTTAAATAAAGATAGACATGAAAAACAGGCCCAATACTTATGATTAATTAGTATCTCAATAAGTAGTTTATAATGATCTACAAATCTGTGAAAAAATGCCAATATCTATATTGAAAATTATTTATAATTTTAGTGGTTGTTTATTTCTACTATAATATTTCAGGGTAAGGTTTTTTCGTTACCCAACGCCGAGACGAGTGGCCTCATGTGGGTATCAAACTGCTCTAACTCTGATTGTTAGAACTGACCCAGATGATTACTATAGCACGGCGTTAGCTTCTCGGGGATCGCTGGTAAGTATTTATTAAAAATCTACTTTAACGAGAATTAACATGAAATGTATGTATTGAGCCTTTTTTTAACATCCCACTGTGTGGCACGGGCCTCCTTTCATTGTGAGGCGTATCATAGTCCACCACGCTGGCCAAGTGCTGGCGGACTAAGCATGTCTTGTGAAAACTTGATAGGTTCTCTCAGACATGCAGGTTTCCTCACGATGTTTTCCTTCACCGTTAAGACAAGTGGTTATAATGTTGAAAAAAATTCGCACATGAAAATATCATAGGTGCGAGACCCGAGATTTGAACCCGCTTCACTCGGTTTCCCAAGCGAGCGCGTTACCACTACATATACTACCACTGCCTTCATAAACACCAAAAATTAAATTTATATTTAATTTCATTTTTTACAAATCAGAATAAAATAAAATGATAATGTATATGTTTGTAGTTTTAAAATTGATTTTTTTCACGTTTTATTATTGTATGATAAGGTCAACAAAATAAAACCTATACGTATAGAATACAATAAGTTTAATACAGTAGGATATAGTAATCGACAGTAAGTTCTATTCTTGCACGAGATGATCTCTTGATTTGATAATATATACGGTTGTCCGTTGTTTGAGGTGTTAGAGTTGTTGCCTAGATGCTATGTTGCTGTCTCTTTCCTCTATAAGAGAATACTTCCGCGTTTAGATGAAAATATGTAATAAATAAATATTAGTCTTTAAACTTTCATGGTCACTGATAATATTACTTACTTGTGACACGTTTGCCTCAGTTTATAGCGACCCTACGTGTTGTGTCAGCGGTCACGGGTTCGAGTTCCGCTGAGGGCATTCATTTGTGTGATGAGCACGCATGTTTGTATTCTAGTCATGGGTTTTATATTTATAATATGTATGTATTTAAAGTTATATATGCGTAGTGTATCAACTATCTGGTATTCATAACACAGGCCTCGTAACTTACCATAGAATTAGATGGTGCTGTGTGTTAATATCCAAACATATTTATGTCCCAACATATTTTGAGAGTTCCCGATATTTCGGTACGGTTACAAGCGCCATAGTCACGGCGCTACGCGTTTTACATCATAATCATAAAAAAAATTGATTCGATATATATTTAAAGACTATAACATGTATATTGTTTCATTATCATTAAATAAATATAAGGGTCACAACTGAACAAGCCAGTGTACTTATTTTTATATTTTGTCGCTTCCTATTATACTAAGGCGGACAAAAGCTTTATAAGAATTCCATGTCAATGAAGCCTCATACAAGCATAATACTAAAGAAATACTATTTCAAGGAAATGTATAATATTCTTTGTTGGTATCAGAATTGATTTTTTTATTGAAACTTACATCTTACATAAAACTAGCATTGCCCGCGGCTCCGCTCGCGTTCAGATGACCAAAAACCAAATACAATATCGCTATTGTTTTCTTTTCAAGATAAGCTATTTTTAATAGTTTTTGCCTTATTTAATAAGTTACCCTGCTAAAATATATATGTATAGTATCATCGTGGTTTATTCTAACTAGTTTTTTATTTTTTCTCAGAAATGAGATATTTCCCGCGGTAAAAAGTATCCTATATGTTGACCCGGATAACCAGCTATAACCATACCAAATTTCATCAAAATCCCTCCAGTAGTTTTTCTGTGATGCGGTAACAGACAGACAGACAGATACTCGTAGGAATTCTAAAAACTATAGATTCGGCCTCTGTATCGATAATAATGTATATTTCAATAAGATTTTCCAAAAAATATTTAATGTACAGATTCGACTTAGTAAGAATTTTATTATATATATAGATTAAGAAAATATTGATGGAAAAACGTTTTTTTTTTCTATTTGACGAATCAGAAAGTTATTCACGAACTCCATTTATATTATGTACTCTCCTTAAAACAAAATGTCTGTACCCAGAAATGCCTGAATGATTTTGACAGTCTGGTCTTTAGTCAGTTTGGTGTTCGATCTGATCAAAACAGGAAAAATTGAGTCACATTCGTTTCAAAGTCTAGTGCTTTCCGGGGCGCCTCCCATTGGCTACTTCTGAATTCAAAAGCGTTGCTTTAAAGGCTTTCTTATGTAGTTTCCACTCCGTTACATCTACTTTGAGAGGAGTCGATCTACGTGGATTATTTAATTATTTTCGTAATTTACGGTTTCATTACTATCAGTCTTAATAAAAATAATGTAAGATAATATGAAGATTTTTATTAGTTGTCTATTTTATATATATATATATATATATATATATATATATATATATAAAAAATGGCAGTGGCAGCCCAGTGGTAACGCGCTCGCTTGGGAAACCGAGTGAAGCGGGTTCAAATCCCGGGTCTCGCACCTCTGATATTTTCATGTGCGAATCATTTCTAACATGATTACCACTTGCCTTACGGTGAAGGTAAACATCGTGAGGAAACCTGCATGTCTGAGAGAACCTAACAAGTTTTCGAAAGACATGTGAAGTCCGCCAACCCGCACTTGGCCAGCGTGGTGGACTATGGCCTGATTCCCCTCGTACTGAAGGGAGGCCCGTGCCCAGCAGTGGGACGTGAAAAAGGGCTGAATATAATACAATATATATATAAGTTTTTTAGTTAATGATTTTTTTCGATTAATTTAAAAATGTCGGTGGAGGTGATTAATTTAAAAATCGATTTTTCAGTTCTTTATATAAAAATAACTGAGAAAGTGTTCACAATCGATTAAAAAGTCAGACAAATATACGATTCATTTTTATCTTTAAATATGCGTAATCAGCATATCTTTTAGGGAAGTGCACAAATTGATATTTGGTAGGCATGTATTTTTGCAAATATCGAAAAATAACGATAGACTTTCTTATAAGTAAAAGAAAGCGTTAATTCACAATTCATATCACTTAACAAAAATACCTATTACGTAAAGGATTTTATTTTATAATATTTTTGCAACTAGGTACTTTATCTAAAATACTCTATAATAAATACTGATAATCTTTAGATTATACTAATGCATAAATTTCGAAGATAAGAAAACCCAAAAACGGTTCAACGTGCTACTTGTACGAGTATGATATGCAAATTAGTGCAAGTATGCACGCGCAAGGCGGTAAACCATGTATCCGCCCATAGGATGGACCGACTAGATAAAAACTAGCTTCTCTCGATTGAATGCATAAGGATCAGTTTTAACATATGACAGGTTATAGTGAGATAAGTTACATCCACTCAGCTAAATCTACATCACAAGCTACGAGTATAGTGGACTTTTAAGAGTTAAACGACAGAAGGAGATCAATGAATAAAAACAAAATGCTTGTTTTCATATTAGCAAAACCCGCTGCTATGCCCGTTTTCAATCTACAAAAAACCTCTTTGGCTATAAGTTATACAGCTGTGTAAAACTTAAAGCCAAATATATAATACTAGCGATTCATCCTCGCTTCGCTCGGGTTAGTCCCTACTTGCGTTTTAACGTTTAGTATCGATTTCTCAGAGATGAGATATTTTGCCGCAGTAAAAAGTATCCTATATGTCCTCCAGTGGGTTTTCCGTGATGCGGAAAAAGACAGACAGACAAAAATCCAAAAAACCATAGATTCGGCTTCTGTAGCGATAATTATGTGTACTTCAATAAGATTTTCCAAAAAATATTTAATGTACAGATTCGGCTTGGTTACAATTTAATTATATGATAGATATATAGTTTTAGAATAATGTATGAAAGTCTGCCCGATTTGTTGACTTTTATGATGACTGCATCCGCTCTTGGGTAGTAGCATGATGATATATAGCCTTCTTCAATAAATGGGCTAACTAATACAAAAATAATTTTTCAATTAAGATTAGTAGTTCCTGAGATTAGCGCATTCAAACAAACAAACCCTGCTTCTTTATGATATTAGTATAGATTTTAACTATATTTTTACGATTCATAATAAAGCTTAATCGCCTTGCACCATGCTGTTCCATACAACAATTTTGAATGTGTAGGTATTAAGATTTAAGGTATAATTTTTACAGGTTTTCATAGACAATGCATATAACATACCGGATATGGATTCTCCTGCGCGTCTGGTCAATCCCGCTACTGAAGTTATGATCGCAGTGTCTCCAGAGAGGACATATGCCACAGCTGGCATACGATCATTTAAGCCTCATGATAGGCAATGCTACTATAATGATGAAGTAAGTTGTTATCTCTAATATTACTCGTACTTATCGCTCTGATCGTAGGACAACAAACACACAAACAATCTCTCTTCTCTAACTTGTCCCTTATAAATATGACTGTGAAATGATCAGGACGTGTTTTTTTTGCTAAAATCAAAACGTTCGGAATCCGGTGTAGCACTATTTTTCTATACATATGTAATCTTGTATATATCTAAATTTGTGATTTTAGTTTTTATTACATACGGCCCTAATATTCTCAAAGGAGCATTGCTCCTTGTATCAGGTATCTTAAAATAAGGATATAGCTGTCCACACTATCTGGATCTTGGAATAATCGTGATTACCGTGAATTTAGTTTCTCCAATCGAGATGGTTTATTGAATTAGAATTTGGTTTAAAAAATTGATGATGATGATGTTCTCCCGACCGATTCCGGCCACGGCGGCCAATCTCATTGAGACTAGCCAACTTCGCAGGAGATATTATAGTGCACAAGTGTACGCGCAGACACAAGTGCACTCTCTATTCCTGTCACTCTCATACTCCGGTGGGACGACTGTTCGACACGACCAGTGAGAGTTAAGGCGCAGGACCGACGGCTTTACGTGCTCTCCGAGGCACGGGGGTGAAACACCGCCAACTTCCCAACTCCGGGCTGTTACTGAGGCTTACTTATACAGAAAGACTCAATAACTAAACTTGGCCCGACCCGGGACTCGAACCCAGGACCTCCGGGTGTGCAGCCGTACATGCTAGCCACTACACCACGGAGGCAGTTGATTGAGTTTTTTTTTTTTTTTTTAAATTATAAGTATAACGTATGGGTGGGTGGAGATGGTTGACTGAATGCTTATATAATATTATTAGTTATTGTTGTAGATGTACATTTTTATGTGCAATACTAATTGCAGAATGTCAATTTGGCTAAAAACTCTGTACTTTCGAATCGGGCAATGTCCGACTATTATTTTTAAATGCAATGGTATTAGCTGGCCATAAGATGAAAAACAATTATACTTCGATCTATTTGATTTACGATGATAATCGTTTGACGTCAAGATCACTTAAGTGCGTGTACTATTAAAAATATAAAATATAAATGTGATCAACAAAGTAATATACTCATTATGTTTGTCTGTGTTTCAAAATAATATTCTCAATAAATATTGTTCACACTTCACACTGAAGTATATATTAAGGCATCATCTATCTTTTAATTTGTTGTATGAAAAATGTTCCAAACAAGTTGGGAGGCATTTCTAAGTAAATGTTGAAAATGGTCACCAAATTTGAAGCGCTAAGAATTGACTTTATTTTTGATGGTGTGTAATAAATACTATGCTAGCAGTCTTATAAATCATCTAATTATTACCCGAGTATTATATATAAAAATCAGCTTTTATACTATAACGTAAGTAGAATTATGATTCCATGAAAAGGGTGTCTGGCAAGGGTTTGCCACGATGTTAAGTGTCTGGCATTGAATGACGTGATTTTTAATAATATTCTGAAGGTAATACCAAAAAATCACACTTTATTATTTGACGAATTTAGATCTGTATTTTACACACCTTTAGTACCGTGTACCAGCCAAAGCCACCATAGCCTGAACTTCATAATGGTCCATCGTTCTTATCTGTGTTGGGAGCATGCGCTGACAAACTTTCAGCTTTTATAAAATGACGAAGATCTGGCGTTCACAGGCTCTTAGGCCATTATTAATATTATAAATTAAAAAATATATTTTTTTAATTCACGTAATTTACATTATTGTAAAAGATAGTCGTAATTTGCATTTATAATAAGTAAATAGACATTGTTTATGGACTGAAAAATGTCATATTGCTGCATCAGTTATATATATGAGTCATAAAGTTATTCCTTTGGGATATAAGTCTGTTACAGAAAATATATAGGGGTCACTAGCATCTTAATAATGGCTTCAAAATTGATTACATTGAGAGCACATTTTTCCTGACTACGGCGAAGCCCAAAGAAGGGTTATGTTTTTGACCTGTATGTATGTATGTCCGGCCCTATGCTCCCTCGTAATTATTAAACACCTTAACCAATTTTAATGATTCATATGTCGTAAGATTCGTCTTGATAACAAAAATATCATAGGGTATATAGATATAATTAAAAATCAAAATAGTGAATCTTTTATATTATGTAATGTGACTGGCTAATGTCATATTTTATAAAAGCTCTAACAAAACTGCTGGATTGCCGTTACCTAAAGAGTTTCTATCTAAGAAAGGTGTTTTTTTTTTATTTTCGATCTTTAAAAAGTGGAAAGGGGTGCTAGAATTTGTATAAATATATTATTAATATTTGTAGCAACGTAACGTAGCATAGCAAATCTATCCATATGTAGGTATATTTATGCATAAAAACGATTGTTCCTTTGTCACGCCATCACGCTTAAACTACTGAACGTATTGGCATGGGACTGTGACCAATCGACATGGGCTTGTCTGCAGATTTTAGGCTATTTAGTTTCTGAATTCCATACATACGTAACTTATACCATACACATTAATGTCTCTGAAGACCAAAAGTAACATTTACGTACGCCCAGCAAACCCGCGGGAAGAATAGTTAATTACATACTCAAAATGCATGTGTAATGTGAATCAATCTACGTATTAAAAGAAACCATATCAAAATCACCTAAAATAGTTTCTGAGATAAGCTTAAATAGCTTTCTGAGATATGATGTCAGATGACCGATAGATAGACAGAAACGATAGACAGAAACGATCGACATAGATAATAAAACATTAATTTTTGACAATTTAAATTTATTTTAATGGCTTTGAAGTTTGATAATTCTTGCTCAGAATTTATTATAAAATTGATAACAATGACATTCATAATTCAAGGGCACTTATTTTTATTTATACGTATTTTTTTATTATATTTTGCGTAATGCATAAATTCAAGGAATATATGCGTAAATTCATGGCATGTGATAAATATCATGTTTTTTACAGCAATAATTTTTAAAAAATTTAAAGATACTATTTAATGGATACTTTATAGAGATATGTGAGGCTATATACTTGAGCAATCCTAAACTCGATCACAGTTGGGTTATGGGTGTATGTATGTCATGTCCATTGTCCATATTGTATACTAGCGACTTACCTTCGCTTTGCTCGGGTGCATGCCTAAGTACGTTTTAAATAGATATAAATAGTTATTGCGAGTGTACCTTAGAAGATAAACGTATAATATTCCTGACTTTTCTGTGGGCCTTTTTAAGATCTACAATTTAGTAGTAAAATAAGGACGACTCGATAGAACCAGTTGTAGTACTTTCCTAAGAAGATTCTTTTGTAGTAAAAGTATTTTAAATGTTGACTCGAGTAATCACTACACAAAATTTTATTAAAATCGTTTCAGTACTTTTTGCGTGAAACGTGAAGAGACAAACGACAAACAGACATACAATCAAACAAAATCCTGCCAAACAGACAAAATTTTTATTAACTATTAGGACCTATGTACTATACACAATATGTATAATAATATAATAGATTTCACGAATTTACTATTTTATTATATGTAAGTAGGTATGTATAGATTCTGTAGATGATGAACACGCATTATCATTGCTTACACAATGACATGAGAACTTTGTTTTCTTTTAATAGATAAATCCTTACGGGGAATCACAAAGTTTAAATACGTAGACGTACTAGGAACAGTTAAAAAAAATACAGTCGAATTGAGAACCTCCTCCTCTTTGAAGTCGGTTGATATACCATCATACTCCATTGGTTATTTATGCCTAAAAAGAAGACAAACAAACTGACAATAAACATTTCGCATTCATAACAATGCGAATATGTAACTTACGTAAATTCAGCGCTGTATCTCCATATACTATCTCTGTAGCAGGCATTGACGCAAAATAACCAATTTTATCGAATATATCGAGATTCGGTAATCTTTATATCATATGAATGTATCACATAATGTCATAATGCTATCATTAATTAATTGCGAACCAGTTGAAATTAATTTATCATTGCAAATTTTTAAAATTGTGATAGGTATAAATATTTCCTGAGAGCTTTGCTTCTGTCTTCTACGAGTATAAATGGAAACAGAAATGAATCTGCATATGTATGCCTTGTTATGAACACTGAACAATTAACTTGTATTTGTGCTTCTGATGAACACATTTCTAAACAATACACGCAATTACGAGGGTATTTTGGTGTCTCATTTGTAAAAATATTTAATCTAAAATATAAAAATCTCGTGTCACGGTGTTTGTGGTCACACTCCTCTGAAACAGCTCGATCGATTTTAATGATATTTTTTTGTAAATTTGGTAGGTGATAACCCTTTATATTGAAGGAAGGCCCGTACCCAGCAGTGGGACGTTAAAAAGAGCTGAATAGATGTTCAATGTTCACATCAAAATCCCTTAGAAGTACAAATGTACTTAGGCATATTATTAGTAATATGAACGAATCTTAGAACCTCACTTGATTATCGTTCACTTGAAATGCACCAAATGTAAATGCTCTGTTCGCATAAATTATAAATTAGTATTGGAATATTTGTTTAATATGAGCTAGCTAACATTTGGTAAAGAAATATTTATTTAGTGCTATATTGTAACTTTTTTGTCACTATATTCATTTAGATAATTTGAGGATTCGTTGATTAACTTAGAGTATCTTTACTTTAAAATGTCTTTAAAAAGGTCGCATACATTATTTATCTATATTTAAAATATCACTTTATTCTAAGCTTATAAATTCTTAATTTATTTTATTCATTCCAGGTAAAAATAGCGAATTTTCATCATTATTCATTTCACAATTGCATGGCTCTGAAAAAAGTTCAAGTTCTGATAAACAAATGTGACTGCATTCCGTTCTACTTTCCACAAAGAGGTACCTATGTTTATCTAAAAAGATTGGAATTTAAATGATACAGATAAATAAAATAGAAGTGTCTATTTGTAATATCAAAATAATAGCTTTTTTACTAAATGTATATGAAAGTATATACTGTACTAATAAGACAAAGAACATTTCTTTATATTTTTTTATGTCTGTCTGTTCTGGCTAGTCTCCGAGATGGCTGAATCGATTTTTCCGGAACTTTCTTAACTTAAGCTACTTTAATTAAAAAAAACATGGTTCCGCGCCAAGAAACTAAAACCCATGAAATTGTGTGAAAAAAATTCACGTACCTAGGGACGCACCCAAGTGAAGCTAGAGAAAGTCGATAGTTATATAATTGTCCTGTTACAAAACTCGTTTCACATCAAACTATAGCAAAAAAATTCATCAAAATCTTTCAAGCCGTTTAGGAGAAATGGAGCTACGAAAACACGCACACCAGAATATAAAGGAAGAGAAAGGAATTTTACATATAAAAACTATTAGTCGATTATGACCTCTTAACGTCTTAACAAATCATAACGCGGCGGCGATACTTATTTTTTTATTGTAATGTTCCAGATTACAATAGAATATGCAATTTTCATGATATTGAATGTCTGGAAAGAGTTCTAAGTAAGTGTAAATAGATTACAGAGTGTACCGCTTTTACTTTTTATATATTTCTCACTTTATTTTATCATATTTAGAACAACTAGTTTATAGAATTTTCGCATTTGCATTACTTTCTGAAAATCTTGAGTCTTAGGTTAGTACCGGCTAGTGCGATGTATGTACATATATTTTGGTTTTCTGACAAGAAATTCTCGTTAGAAGCACTGAAATATTGAGAATGAAAGGAATAGACTACCTACACTTATGTTTGCATACGACTGTGGACAAATTTCAGCCAGTGTGACGTAAATATAATTAAAATAGTGTAAAATAATACAGTACAAAATGGATAAAATTTTGAACTATAACCTTTTGTTGTCCATATTAAATTCTTTCCAATTAATTATCACATTGGAAATTATTTATATTTATCCTCATTAATTGTGGTTAATTATAATTAACAGAAGGATGGTTTCATTTTCGCGTGAATGAAGTTTTTTGTTGAAACAATTTTACTTGTTGAATATTTAAATAAATAAATAAATATCTTCATAATATCGTTGTAGACCCCAATCTGATTTATGAGAGCGAGGAAAACGATCAAGTAAACAAAGACGAAAGTACTGATAACATGATACAGTGTATGCCAGAATGTGAACATTTCGATTACCCACTTGAAGTGGCTTTGGGAAAGCTATCCGTTGGCGTGCCATTTAGTGGCACAATGTTCTTGTGAGTATAATCTACGTCTACATCGTCTACACTTCTATACCACTATTATGAAGAGGAAAGATTTGTATGTTTGTATGTTTGTAACGAATAAATTTAAAACTACTGGACCGATTTAAATGAAATTTAATACACTGAAAAGGACGTAGGATATTTTTTGGGGTATAGGGGTGAAAATGGGGATGGAAGTTTGTATGGGGATGGGAAATTAACTTAGGGACAAACCCGAGCGAAGCGAGAGTAAGTCGTTAGTAATGTAATAATTGCAAATCTTACAAAAATATTCAATGATTATTTAATAATTTTTTCTTTATTTTACTTATCATAATTAGTAAAAACAGGTTTTATTTTCTAATATCCTTTCTTATCATTTCGTTATATTTGGATTGCTGGTGCAAAGTTTCAAACTTCTAGAACCAACAGGTTAGACTGTACTTAATACTTTATTTTTCAGAGATTTTTTCTTTTTATTAAGTAAATCTTTTTTATTCTAGCGACGACATAAATCTGGAGAATCGTTCAGTGGTAAATGTTTTCTTCAACGACTTAGTAGCGACTAGGTACAGAAGGGACGCTTACTTGAACTGGCAGAATGTATTGGGTAAATATCTTTCTAGTTTAATGCAAAAAATCCTGATATTCTATTTTTACTCGTGTTAGTGTTCGTTGCAGCGAACGCTTTTAGGGAGGTGAGAAAATTGAAGGACCTTTATGCAATGCCATAGTTGACACGTGGCACGTGTAGGTGAACTGAGCCATACACGTATAATCCGATCAAAGTGCTGCAAAATGGTATTAAAATAACTCTGAAAGCTTTTACCTAGCTAGTGTTAAAATGATTTTATGAATACTTTATTAAAGGTTTTAATTCACCTGTATTTTATGTTAGCTAGTGCTTGTCATACGTAGTTACTTACAGTTTAGTATTCTATAATAACATAACAATTTATCGCAATGAACAATTTTTCAGTATATGTGTTGTGTGTTCCCAGTATTTTCGCTTGACCCAAGAAGCGTACATTTTTGTTTTGATTAATTCACTTGTAAGGCAGTGTTAACCCAGTGGTTAAACGCTTTCTGAGAAACCAAGTAAAACGGGTTCAAATCCAGTGTTTGAGACACTAATTTTTTCATGAACGAATCGTTTTTGCTATGTCTTAAGTGAAGGAAAACAAGCATGTCTGAGAAAACCTATCAAGTTTTCGCCAGATATAATATGAAATATTTATAGATAACACTTAAGCTCGTTAAAAGGGACTTAGCAAAAAAATATATATAAACAACGGATTAACAAAGGAGAAAAGAAGTACTGAATTGTTTTGATTTTGCCTATTTATAGATAATACAATTATTGGAGGCTTAATGTTAAAAAGTGGGATTACAATAATTAAGAGAATTATTTAATATTATAAATGTCAAAGTGTGTTTGTTTGTTTGTTTTTTTTTGGACATAGTTGAATGGCTGGACATTGACTATTTTTTGTAACACAATGTAAACAACCACCCACCCTAGTGGGTGGATGTTTACATTGTTTCGTTTCACGTTATGTTTCAAAAGTGTAAAATAGAAAATTGTTTTGTCCATTTTTTATTCAAGGTTCACTATCAAAACTATATTCGCGAAAAATCTATATCTCTAACAGATTAACGATAGCGAATATACAGCTGTTATTTTTAATATTTATCAAAAATTTCTGCTAGATATTATAATAGAGATATTAGAAGTATAACTTTTATATCTTGCTTCCTAAAAATGATAACGACAAACGTTTCTTAATGAATTAAACATTTCTTAATGAATTTTATATTATGGATAAGGTTTCTATAGTAATTTTCAATTCAATGTTTTTTTCTTTATGTATATATAATGGATCGATCGATAGGCCAATTATGGATAGATTTCTTTAATGAATCGGCTCAGTACGTTTTTCTCGTCTGTTATGTTGTAAATCGATTTTCTTTTTTTTTCTTTCTTTTAGTTGGTAATTACTAGTTAGTGTTATCAATAGGAAAATTTTTGGAAACAGTTTATTTTTAATATCGACAGGCAATTCATTTCCCTCAAATTTTGAATAATGATTATAATTGAATTTCGACCACTATGTAAACACTGGTAAATAACAATGCTACTTAACTTAAATTTCATCCACTAAAGGTAACTTAAATTTCATCCACTAAAGGTAACTTGTCAGTGATTTTTATGTCAGTATACCTTTTTTAGTTAAAAAGTAATAAATTCTGTAAATCATGGAGGGATAGCATATGCCATAAGATTGTGATATAAGAGTCTGTTGATAGAAATATTTGAAGTTCATAAATGATATGGTTCATATTTCAATTTAACACCAATCAAGGCTAATAATCTGAAAATATTACATTCAATAGATAATACTGAGGTTTTATCGATCAACGTTCTTATCGACGTCAAAGTGCGATTAACAAAAATCCATTGCATAATCAATCTATTTCTTCAAGATTGGGCGATTGTTTTAAAGAAAAAATAAGTTAAATCGACGTTTTACTTAAACTTTTAATAACGTTCAAAAAGCTAAATGATTATTGATAAATTACGAGAAATTATTATAAGAATGTATGTATTCAGCCCTTTTTAACGTCCCACTGCTAGGCACGAGCCTCCCTTGAATACGAGGGGGATCAGGCCATAGTCCACCACGATGGCTAAGTGCGGGCGGACTTCACATGTCTTTTGAAAACTTGCTAGATTCTCTCAGACATGCAGGTTTTCTCACGATGTTTTCCTTAACCGTTAAGACAAGTGGTTATCATGTTGAAAATGATTCGCACATGAAAATATCAGAGGTGCGAGACCCGAGATTTGAACCCGCTTCACTCGGTTTCCCAAGCGCGTTACCACTATACTACCACTACTTTTTATTATAAAATTTTTATTTATTATTTATTTAATTATAGTCCCTATTGTTATAATTATTACATTTTAAAAATAACTTTTGTAAATAATACTTAGTGTTGCTGTTATTATATTTTTATACTAACCTACAACAGCTGTAATGTTTAGACCATATTAAATTAACTAAATTAATAAAGGGATAATTCTGCCGTCATAAGGAAGAAGGCCGGCCGTAACTAACAATTTGGTCAAAAATGACTTATATACAGATTCGGAATCAGCAAATAAAGTGCTACTTGACAGTGTTACTCATAAACCTCTATGTCTTATGAATCCAGATAAGCATTTTACTTGTAACTACGTGAAAATTTGAGGATTTTTAATTTAAGAAGCCTTTATTTCAAAATTACGACATTCTATTTTACTGTATCTATTTAACATCTTGCTAGTCTGTATGGCCGTAATTTTCAATAACGGCGTTTTATGTTAGCACAACCAAATGATAATTATTATTATTTTTTTTTTTTATTTTTTATTTTATTTTTACGTGGGGACATTAACACACAGCGCCATCTAGTTCCATGGTAAGCTACGAGGCTTGTGTTATGGATACCAGATAGTTGATATACTACACATATATAACTTTAAATACATACATACTATAAATATAAACCCATGACTGGAGTGCAAACAATTATATATTCAAAAAAAAAACAAAATTCAAAATATTTTATTGAGCATTAAATTATTACAATTTTTACTTAACGTCATGAGTCTACTCGCTATTCGCTTCGATAAAAAGCCTTAACTCTCAAATAGGGCTTTTTATGTAAGCACTTTGTGGCTCGACAATTGCGCTGCACAGAATAAAAACTGGACATTGTTCTTTTTTATGATTTATTTCACAAATTCCTAGGAGATTTCCATCAATACTATCGTATTAAAATATTTCGAAATTCGAAACCGGCCATACTTTTATGTTTGTTAATAAATAAAAGAAAAACTATCGTGAAAAAGCTGGCTGTTACAGATTTTTTCTAAATTAAAAACTCCAGTACGATCTCATCAAAAGCGACAAAAACTACATAGAAACCAATAAATATTTATTGGTTTCTATGTGGATGTTATTTTTTGATGGAGTATATTGCAGTTTTTCAATAGGAATGTCAGAGTTCAACATTCTAACCCACGGGCATATTTACGTAATACGTTTAAACAACGTATGTAAAACGCATTGGTTTTTTCTTTACGTTTAAAAAATAAAATTGTAATATGTGATTTTTGGAAAGATTCCTATTAATTTCTATCTTATAATATTTATTTATTTATGCTTTCAAATACTTATTGACTACTATCCTATATATTGAGTAAAATGTGATTATTAAAGATGTTTATAAATCTTATATCTTGAAACGAGCAATTCTTGTATATATAGTGGGTCATTTTTAATTTACTGAAAACCTTTTGGGAATATACTGTTTACATCATAATATATATATATATATATATATATATATATATATATATATATATATATATATACTAACATTGCCTGCGGCTCCGCCCGCGTTCAGATGACCAAAATCTAAATTCTTAGGTTTTACATCTTAGTATACTCTTACATTGCAGTTTTTGTATTTTTTCTCAGAAATGAGATATTTTCCCGTGGTAAAAAGTATCCTATATGTTGACCCGTATAACCAGCTATCACCATACCAAATTTCATCAAAATCCCTGCAGTGGTTTTTCCGTGATGCGGTAACAGACAGACAGACATAATTCTAAAAACTATAGATTCGGCCTCTGTATCGATAATAATTACAAAAAATATTTAATGTACAGATTCGGCTTAGTTACAATTTTATTATATATAAATCTGAATCTCAAAAACGCTCCAACGATTTTGCTGAAATTTGGTATGTAGGAGTTTTCGGGAGTGACAAAACGCCTCTTTCGAGTTTTCATGCAGCTTTCTTTCGCATTATTCCACACAAAATATGTTCGGTAATTTCGCTCGATCTGGCATAGGCATCGTAATCAAGCGGCCAAGGCGCAAGATCTACAATCACGGGTGTCCAGGTTCGGATCTCGGATACAAAGCTTAACTTCTGTTTGTTTATGTTATTTTTATATTTATTCAAGTTTATTGTTTTGAAAAAAAAAGAAAATTGTACCTTAGGCCAAAGACTCCGAGCGAAGCTCGGTAGCCCAGTAACTATTCCATAATCCATGCTATGAAACTAGTATTTTAATTTATTTCTGTCTATTTTATCTTCCTGATCTAGTATTTAAATATCTACAATTTACATACTACACTACATACATCTACATACATACAGTACATATATATATATATATATATATATATATATATATATATATATATATATATAATACATACATCTACATACAATCCTAAACTGTTTCTTTTAGACTTGGTACTCCGATTGGGCTAAATGTACTTTTCTTCGCCCTTACATTAGTTGATAAGATGTCAATCGTAATCGTTTGTAATCCCATCGGACTACGAGAACTCATGTGTTTGCGTACATATTTGTCATAACATAACACAGTGAGGTTGGTCTTTATGGCTATAATTCAACCCGGAGCATATTAATATTATATTTATTCTAAACTACTGTGCGTGTATGTTCAGACTTTATCAATATTTTAAAATTATTTATTTGTAATTTCAGCTGCCTTCGGAGGACTCCTGAGCCTTATGTTAGGCTTCACTCTTATATCTGGATTCGATTTTGTTATATTTTTTTCACTAAAAGTATTATACGATTCAATATCGAGGTTCTTTATTTATGAACATTCTGATGAACCTAAAGGATTTATTATAAATGTCAAAGAACACGAGAAAGAGCACTGGGTCAAGCAAGTGAAGAGAAACAGGAGTTACGAAGCCAACTCGAATAAATACAATGATCGACATGTGAAAATTAGATATTAAAAAGATTTCATTTTAAGTATAATTAATGCTTTATTAAATTTAAAAGTGTATAATTTGTATTGATAACGAATTTGTTATTTAAACATACATTACATATATACATATTACGTAAACAACTCTTAAATACAAACCATAAGCAATTAATGTAGATTTTTTTGCTGTATTCATTTTTCTTACGTACTTATTTTGTATTTATAACCCAGACATAGTTTTATGCTAGTAGTACATAATATATGATTACTTGCACGTACATACATACTTTTCAGAAAAAAGTTAAATAAGTATATTTTAGTTACTCTTGAACTACATAAGGCTTGCTATTTTATAAAATAAACAAATACCATGATTTATCTTCTATTGATAGTCACTAATAGATTGATCAAAACCTTACGAATGATCAATGATTTCTGTCTTTGTATGTATACTATTTTTTAGGTTTGTTCTATAGGCCTTAAAGTTCCACTTAGACCTATAAAATCAAAATAATTTTAATTCAAATGCATATCTAGTAATAATTTTATCTTACTACTATATAAATGCGAAAGTTTGGATTCATGGATGTTTGTTGATCACGCCAGAACAGCAGGATTTAGATGAAAGTCACAAAGATTGATTATAGTCTGGAATAGTACATAGGCTACTTTTTATTCCGGAAAAATGTACAGTTTCCGTGCGATAGATTCTTATTTTTCACTAGCGACAAACTCGAGCGAAGTGAGGCGGAGCCGCTAGTTTAACATAAAATGTAATAATAATAATATAAAATGATATATTACAATAGCTTAAGTACCTTTTTTATGTTCAGAAATGCATTTACGCAATGCATACCACCTTCATACATACGAGAGGTAATGTGGGACTGTCACCTAGAAAGTCCAGTACTACCCATTAAAACTCAACGGAATCTCTCACCCCTCAACTCACGACACTCACCCCGACGGCATGCCAAGGCAGACCACAGCAACTAGGTTTGCTCCAACGGTCTACTCTGCTTATCAAAGAAGTACCAGCAGCAACCCGCATGGCACACCGTCCAACGAGGTGGGCCGCATCCCAGTACGTTTCGGCTGGATTGCCAGACGCTAATGGGCTCCCCGCCACGACAAGATGAACACACATCCAGCGGATAGGTTTAGTCCCTAATCCCTATATTACATTTTGAAGTTAACAAACAATTTACCGACACGACTGAAGACACCAGCGTTCCAATATATATCTACACGTTACAATCAGTAATACGCAATAAATGACCACTACGTGACTATAACTTTAATCTATCTATGGGACTACTATTTATTATAAATGTGATAGTTTTTATGTGCTATGTTTGTTTACAACTCTTTCTTGCTGAAACGGCTGGACTTGTTTGGATGAAATTTTTTATTTTATACTTTATCAATGAGGAGCTTCTTTTCAAAACTTGACAATTCCACTTTTAATGAAACTGATTTTTTATTTATTTTTTGTTTGGTGACATTTAAATTTACACTCGAAAATAAGATTGGGCTAAAACTTAACAATTGCACAATAAAAAAAGATTAAAAGGCATGAGTTCGTCAAAAATAGATAATTCTACCGCAAAATGACATTACCCATTCCAAATACATTTTTGGGGCAAAATATCATTAATCCAGAAGTTATTTAACTATTTTAATCTAAATTGCAGCAGAAAATATTTTATTTCTACATTTTTCAGTCAGAACTTTATGTTCTTTACTCTCTAAAAGTTTATCAGTGGATAGTAATTATTATTATGTTAGTAGTATGCACAATGGCATACCAAGTGGCGCCTAAGTAACTAACTGAAATACCAGTAAAATATTTTAAAATTCACTGAACAGTCAGTAAATTCTCCAGTGATTGAAACTGCCAGTAAACTTTTTACTGGTATACTTTTATAGAGTACTTTTTAATATGGCAAGCTGAAATTTTTGCTTTATTTATTTAGAGAAGAAGATGAACTTCAGGTATTTCAATTCAAAAATGAGATTTCTGATACCTAATTAGTTCAGCAAAACAAGATTAACGATTTGAATCAAAACATGATTATTCCTCTAGAGCATATAACAAAACTTGATTATTCCAATCAGCCGCGTCAAAGCTAGATTATTCCATTTCAAATTTTAGATTTATTCAAAATATAGGTATTATTGCTAAATTTATGAATCCTGTACAAAGCAATGAGTATTGTTGTCGTCTACGATAATGCATCAAAATTTCGGGTTATAAACCTAGCTGCATACCTACAAAACTATTTTCTCAGACTGTGTTAAAACACAAAAAGTGGAATAATAAAGTTTTGAAAAGAACCTCCAATCTTATAATATATTTTGGTGAGATTGCCGACTCATCATCTGCCAACCTTCATGAATTAGGACTTCTGGCTGCAGAGTGTCGTGTTCCGAGGTCGTTTGCCCGCTGACACAGTTCACACATCTGCACTATGGGTTTAAAAGTTTTTAAGTTTTATAATGATTATATAATATGTTAATTTTAAGGTATATATGTATGTTATGTGCCTCTGTGTACATATTTTAAGATCCTTTTGTAAATAATGAATAGAAAAGGACAAATAACGGTTACATTCACATAAATAGTTTCAGCTATGAGGGACTTTTTCTTATCTTAATTACGTTCTTATTTTTGAGGGCGTTTTGTAATTGTTATCATATGGCAGTGGAAAAATTTATTTTTATTATTTACATACCATAACTCAATAACTGTGAATGTTGGTGGATCTCAGCAAAATGTTGAGAGGATGATAAGTTTTCTATAAACATAATTATTCATGCGTCATAGTTTTTTATCGTAAATGTGGTTTTGCGTCAACATTATCGCACGAAATCATGTATTTTTCATTTTTCTGGCTATTATATACATACTAGCGACTCACCCTCGCTTCGCTCGGGTTCGTCCCTAGGTTGATTCCCCATACAAACTTTCATACCTATTTTCACCCCCTCAAGGGATGATTTCGGGGACAAAAGTCCTACATATAAAAAAGTTATCTATATATATATATCCTATGTGTAAGAACCAGGATCTCAAACTATCTTATTACCAAATTTCATCTAAATCGGTTTAGTGGATCCAGAGATTACCTCCTACAACGTCACAAACTCGCAATTCACAAACTAAAAAAAACAAAACAAAATAGGTCTCTATTTCATTGATATAGATCTATTGGCCCCTAGATTGGATAGAATATATTCATTAAAATTACTAACAACAATCTAAAAAAGATATGTTTTTTAGTAAAAATCAGTTTTCTATTTTATAGCAAAACGTACACAACAGAATTCAAGCCTTTAACTCTTCACTTCTATATCCATGAGATTTGCCGAACAAATATATCATATAAACGAAATTATTCAATTGGAAATAAGTTCTACCATAACTGTAGTATAAAACTACAAGTACCTGATAAATGAACAGGTATTTGTAGCTGTACTGAATTATGAAAATTCGCAGAATATTGCGGATTCAATTTTGGTAATTCGCACAATTTTGCGATTTATGTAAAGGTATTTGATGAATTTAAAGTAGGTACTTCTAGAAATGAGTGTAATTAACGAATATTTTTTTGGGGTTATTGGTTTCTTGAATTATATGAGAAGCGAGAACACTCTAAAGGTACCTAGGTATATTATACTAATTTAAAAAAAGAAAACTTAGAATGCGTTCATAATTCGCATATACACATAAAAAAAGATATTGCTATTTGCAGTAGATCAATTAAACTACAGTGATGACAAATTTAAATAAAAATATTTACCTAAAGAAAACCTTGGTTATAAAAGTTAAATAAACAGCTTTGATAAATTCTTTGCCTGTTTGTTTTTATCGCTATTGTTTTACTAAAAGGATTTTAAAATGATACTTTAATGTACAGGCAGTGGTAGCCTAGTGGTAACGCGCTTGCTTGGGAAACCGAGTGAAGCGGGTTCAAATCCCAGGTCTTGCACCTCTGATATTTTCATGTGCGAATTATTTCTAACATGATTACCACTTGCCTTACTTACGGTGAAGGAAAAACATCGTGAGGAGACCTGCATGTCTGAGAGAACCTAGCAAGTTTTCGAAAGACATGTGAAGTCCGCCAACCCGCACTTGGGTACGTGGTGGATTATGGCTTGATCCCCCTCGTATTGAAGGGAGCCTTTGGCCAGCAGTGGGACGTTAAAAAGGGCTGAATACTTACATACTTTAAGGTATGGAAAAGAATAGTTTAATTTATTTCGATTGATCAAGTACAATCTAAAACAGACTGGCAAATGGTGTAAAAAAAATGCATTATATCTAATATATAAAAATCTCGTGTCACGGTGTTTGTGGTCGCACTTCTCCGAAACGGCTTGACCGATTTTAATGATTTTCTTTTGTATATTTGGTATGTATGAGAATAGGTCGTAAATTATTTTTAACTCTCCTAACCCCACTCTCAAGTTTTTAATCACGATTTTAGTATTTTTGTATGAACAACATCCAAATAATTTAATATTATGTAAATACATAGGGACGAACCCGAGCGAATCGAGGGTGAGTCGCTATATAACATAAAGCAAAAGTTTATTTTTTGTAAATTAACCGCGGGCGAAACCGTGGGTTTTGCGAGTTATTATATATTATTGTCAGAAGTAGAGCTAAACTGAATGAATCGTCATTATTATCGTAGATAAAAAACAGCGGTTAGTCATTGCTAACCGACTTCCAAAAAGGAGGAGGTTCTCAATTCGTGGGAACGTTTTTTCTTTCTTTTTTATGTAGGTATGTTCACCGATTACTCGAAGACGCCTTAACCAATTTGGAAATATATTGCTTTGTTTCCCAGGTAGTCCCATTTAAATGTTATCGAAATCGATCGAGCTTTATTTTAAAAAAATCGACATTTTTTTTTTAAATAAATTGCTTAGTCGAATATGTCAGCCAACAATATTTGAAGATATGAATATCTATAGGTAAATTATATGATTAGGTATGAACTCTAATTATAGTTA